GGAATAGTATTGGCGGGAAGGTATGTTGTATGCGACGCGCTCCGCCACCTTGCAGCGCCTTCCTGGCAGCACTTAATATCAAGTACTGCTGATCAGCTGAATCCGACTTGAAATGATGGATCAGCCTAAAGAAATAACATTTAAAATATATACAGAAACTAGCTGTAGTCCGCGACTCCGTCTGTACGGGGTTAAAATAGATAGTTGATTGTCAGAGCTACTGAATATGTATATAAAATTTCATAAAAATTGTCAATCCGTTCGTGTTAAAACTACTGAAAGTGTTAAGGATAGTTTGTTTTAATCTTTAAGGCGGTTCGAAGTTAAAAAAATATAATAATAAAAATGTGCTTACCGAGCCAGTAAACCTTGTTCTTCCATGAAGTCTTCAACATCCAGTTCCGAGGTGACCTGGTCCGGTTGATCTTTGACAAGGACATCGAGCATGGACAGTACAGACTCCACCTGAATAATAACAATAAATAAATAAATTCAAAATACCATTTGATAAATAAAATTTTATTATTTGACATTTTGAATGAATCCAACGAATTAATCAAAAATTGATAGTTTACTTTCATTATAAGACAATAACAAATTATATTCAAACAAGAATATACAAAAACTACTTACTGTGAGTTTCTGAGAACAACATATCAGCATTATGTTTAACAAAACAGAGATAAAGATATATTTTAAAAAGAGATTTCGGCCTCAGAAACTCACGGTTACACAGAAAATTACGTAAAAAAAGACACGACAGCAGTTCAGTACGAAAAGGATTTTCTAATACCTTTTTTGACATTGACAGGTGAAACTATCCAATTATTTAGTGTTGCCATGTTATATATCTAAATAATATTTCGATTTAAATACAAAGTGACAATATCTTTGTATTTCTATTTGAAACAAAGCATATGCTTAACTTAATTACTTACATCTTCAGGTGTGGATATCAATGTATCTGTATCCAGTACATCATTAACCAGGTGTACAGCTATCATCAGTCTACCGGGGTGATTCAGATGTGATATAAGAGGTGCGTAGTTCTGCAACTTGATCAACGTTAATATATTCTTGTAGTGATCAGCGGGTAACTTCAGAATTTTCATAAGTTCTTTGAATACTGGAGTGTTGTGTTCCAGGTGAGATTTACCACTAAAATAAAAAAAATTAAATAGCTAGTTTTAAGAGTGGTAGAACCCGCTTTAACATCTTCGCACGAGTTGGCCATGTTCGCCCGGTGAAATACCACCACCACACAGAAAACAGGCGTGAAGTGGAAGCAATTCCGCGTTTCGTCTGATGAGTGTGTGTCCCGGAGGCCTAATTTAGTCCTCTTTCCCTTCCCACCCTTTTCTTATAAAGAAAGGATGGGAAGTGGAAGTGGACTTTCCGGATGAGAGGATGCATGGAAAGGGAAAATATTCTCTTTCTGTGCATCCTCTCCTCCGTCGATTAAAGGTAGGCAACGCATATGCAATTGCGTATGTCTATGGGCAACGGTCACTTCGCTACTTCAGCGATTTCAGGTGGCCGCTCGCTCGTTTGCTACCTTATGATATAAAAAAAAAAAAGCTTATCATCAGCTCACTATAAATCCCAACTTAGGGCGAGCCCTAAGGTCTCCGACTGACTACCCTAAGTTAGTAAGGCCATAGTTAACCATGGCCCAGTGCGGGTTAACTTCACACATATATATATATATATATATTTTTTAAATATTAGCAGATTTTTTTGTAAATTTACTAATATTTCTTTAACCATTCCAACTAAGCTCTAGACTTGTGCTAGGATATGATTTACGACAATAGTCGAATAGCGGGATTCGAAGCCCCGACCTCGTGGTCGGAAATCCGTACTCTTAACCATTAGGCTAAGGGTACGGACGGCATCTTTGAATTTCTTCTCAGATATGTACAGCATCATGATGTTTCCCTTTCTCTCTTCTCTCTCCGTCCTCCATTCGGGAAAGTACATCGCTGCCTGTCTTCAAAACGTGTCTAAAGGAACATCTTATATCACTATAAATTTTTATTTTTATTTTAAATGTATAAGTTATATTATATATATATATAAACATTATATGTAAGCATGTATTTATTTATGTATGTATTTACCTATATATTTATGAATTTATGCATTTATATTTATTAAATTTAGGATTTAAATAGTTAAGTTTAGTAGTACGTAAGAATTTATAAATTTATGTCTACTTGTACACATACTGTTATTACCCACTATACATCCTCTCTGTATCGCAAGGTTAGCTGTAAGATAACTCTTTTAGAGTTAAGCTCACCTGTACATCACGGTATTTCTATGTAACGTTACACTATGTACTTTAAACTGTGTACAAAGCTTAAATAAATAAAAATAAAATACTGTTAGGACGTCGGATAAATGTACATATGTAAACCAAAAACTGTAGTCCAAGGCAGGATTCGAACTCAAGACCTGCAGATTGCAAGTCAAGTACTTAACCGCTGAGCCAACAACGTTCAATTTCTATCTATATTAGCTATATCTTTATATACTCACCTAGCTTGATGTATATCAGCACATATCTTGTCTGTATGAGCGAGCACTCTGTCCACATAATTCAGTTTGTCCGGGTGACAGCGCTGTGCCAACTTCAGTAGAGCCAGTTGTAAACTCAGCATATCCTCCGGCGCCATATCTGAGCGGCTCTGGACCATAGACATGCATTTTTTAATGTTTGTTGTCTATGTTAAAGATATTTGAATAGACAATTTTTTAAGGCATAGGCTTTTTATTATTTACTGCCACGGTTACGGTAGACATAAACCATAGGTAAAGTTAACTTTTTAATGTTAGTTATTGTTACATTAGCAGCAGAGATATGGCCATAGACAATATTAAATTTTCTAAATAGTTTCTGTCGTCTAAAAAGATCATAGACAATTTATTTTATATTACCTGTGTGATAGCTGCCACTTGGTCGGAGAATACTTCAAATAATTGTACTTCTTGTTCTTTACCATCTTCTAGAACAACGCTGAGGTTAACATTACCTTCATTCCTCTGAGAAACATATAAATTTTATAAATGCGAAAAATTTTATGTATTATATGTATGGATGAATATATGTTAGAAGGCTGCATGGATCTCGCTGAAATTTGGCATAGACATTGAAAATGGCTTATTACGTTTTTTTTTTACAAGTTTTACTAAAATTATAATAAATTTACTTTTACGACATTGAATTACATTTTCCAAAGCATTTTCACTGAGTTATGTTTTGTTTTTAAAAAATGAAAGGAATAATATGTTATCACACATCCCGCGGTGGAAATGGACTCTTAAAGGTACAATAACATTTAAGAAAATAATGAAATAACAACATACCTGACTGTAACTAGCAAGACGTTCAATTAAAGCAATAATAATATTCTTTATATTAACTCCGGGCTGTAACTCAGCACATGATTTGAGGAATGGTGTCAGATTTGCTAAGTGAAATTCATCGGGAAACACCTAAAAGCCAAAAAAAATACGTAAAATTACGATACAGTTGATAAAATTAGATTGCATGTAATATTGGAGAGAAAAAAATATTTAGTGCGTTTAATTATTTATCTATATGTCTGTCTGCAAGCCGTTTGTTCCCAGTAATCTCCGGAACAGGTGGACAGATTTTGACGGGACATTCACTGGTAGGTAGCTAATGCACAGGGGCATAGTATAGGCTATTTTTTACATCTTGTGAGCCAGGTAAAGTAAAACAGGTAAAGAAAAAATTAAAAAAAAACCCTACTAATATTTAGTTTTGTGAAATAATTAGCTTAAACATAGATTACTGTCTGTAATATCAAAGGCTCTATACATTTTTAAATACCTGTATAATACACTCCATAAGGTACTCCTGGGCGATCGCGTCCCTGCAGCTGACGACCTGCTCCAGGATGCCGGGCAGCACCAGCCGCCCGTACTCCTCCACACTGACAGACTCCAGCTGCGACAGACGCACCAGGTTCGTGCCCACCAGGATACGAAGTTCAGACCGTTCACGTTCACGACGCTCCTTGTCCCTGTGCGAACACGTGAAATAGAAGAAATTCCATGTTTTAACTGATGAATGTGTTCCGGAGGCCTATTTTTTCTTATAAGGAAAGGATAGAAGACAGGAGGCATGTGAAGGGGAAATAACCTTTATCTTGGCTCTCCTCTGATTAAAAGTAGAGACAACACATTTATGGACAGCGGTTTTGCCACCTTATGATATGAAAAAGTCTTTGAAACACAATTTCAAATTTGGCCGGCGTAAAGGGATATGTGAAAAGCACAGCTGACCTTGAGTATAAGATTTAATGCGGTTATTATCACTTTTGTTTTAACGAAACGTTAATTTACTTTCTGCAACTAATTATTTGATCAACTATTTGTAGGGTGACCATAATTTCTATAATATCCGGAAAAAAGAAAAATTAAAAAAAAGATATCTCACCTCGAGTGTCCCTGATGTTGCATTCGAACCCATAGCTTATTCATCTCAGCGAAATTCATTAATACAAAATCGATCGCGTCACGCACCTAAAAAAAAATTATAAATAAACCCGCTTTCGACTTCGACTCCAAGCACGCGGAATAAAAAAACCTTTCGTTCAAAAAAAAATGTCAAAATCGGAGCACCCGGGGCTCATACAGACGAATTGATAACCTCCTTCTTTATGAAGTCGGCTAAAAAAAAACATAATTAAGCCTATGTGTTCGTCCAGACTACGTTCTACATCTATGACAAATTTCATAAAAATCTATAGAGCCGTTCCTGAAATACCTTGTACCAGCCATCCATCTAAACCAGTGGTTCCCAAACTTATTTTGTCTAAATATTTATTCTATAAGTGCTGCCCACTTTGAGAATAAATATTTTTTAGCGCCCCCATATTTTCACATATTTAAAAACCACTATAACTTCAAAATAAATAAATTAATTATTGTGACCTATTTATGTATATTAACGGAGAATTCTAAACGAAACTTTTACTATAGCGCGCAACTTGAGACCTGCAGCGTAAGGGGGCGTTATCGCCCACTTTGGGAAAGACTGATCTAAACATTCAATAATCAAATCAAATTGGCCACAAAATTTCTTACAATTATTTTAAAAAGACTTACATTTACAAGCTTCAAATTCATAATAATGGTAAATAAAATCCTAATTATTGGACACAAATTCTTCGTTGGAAACTGATATCAACATCAAGAGAATTAAGAGTGGACGAGACAGTGTGAAACTGCTGTCAGTTTAAAATACTAGTAAAGCTTATACTAGAATAACATAGGAAGGAATCGCTGCAAGGAATGTTAATAGGATACAGATCTAAATGGATTATAACTTACTACCGCATTGCTATTTTAAATAGCTGGAAGTTCAAGTTTTAAATCTATGAGGATTTTTACTTATAACAGTATATACTACTTAACTTTATAACTTTTAGTATACTTACTTAATAACTTTTAGTATTATGAATAACAATCATAATTTTACTTATATAAATTCGAATGTTTGGATGTGTAAAACTATCAGCTGCATATATGCCATATTTAATCGAGTTTGACATAGTCTGGAAGAACACGTAGGCTACTAATTAAGCTTTTTTTTTATAATTCTGAGTAAGTGTTTGGCGACAGTACTAAATAATATTGAATGTTAAAAGATTATTTTAATAATTCGATTCACAAAACATTGTGATGCATTCGTAACTAACTGCCAAAAAATTCAAAGATATGTGTGAAGTCAACCCGCACTTGGCCAGCGTTGACTATGGCTTATTGACCCTTAATTTAAGGTAGGTTACCCCTTAGTGGTCATGTATATAAGCTAACTATTAGCATGAGCAAGCTACTTACAGTTCCTTCATTATCATTTTGTGCCTCCATAGTATCAGGGAGTACATTCCGAGTACATTGTAGCAAGTAATTCCTCAGAAACAATCCTCTTAAAGGATGTTGTACACCACGACACATTTCAACTAAATCCTAAAAGAACAAGAATAATATTTTGTTTATATTGAAAGAAAAAAAAAGACAGAAGAATTGAAAACCTCTTCCTTTTTGAAGTAGGTTTAATAAAATTACAGCCAAAATCTCCATTACTTTCTGATGACTCACGGGATTCCGTCTTCCCCACTTTGGGAATCACTAAATTATCAAATATTAACTAGCAACATACCTTTAATAGATCTCTTCGGAGGTTTGTATTAGTCTTGATATACACCAATCCGACCGTAATCAACAAATAAAGGCGAGGTACAATGTTACCAGCGTATTGCACCAGTTCATACAAATCAGCCACCTTCCTGCCCTTTTGGAACTCTTCCAATAAATATAGTTCTAAGTGACGTAACTCATCTGTTATAGCCATATCTGTATATGTGTTAAGGAATTTTAATATTTACTTATATATTATTCTTTTGTCTTGTCACAATTTTAGTTATTATACACTTCTGAAACAGCTTGACTGATTTTTATGCATATAGGTTTCAGAATCGGCTGCTATGCATTTTTTAATCCCGCACAGGCAGAGTTGCAGTCAACAGCTACTAATCTATAAATATTTTTGATAAGCACTTTATTCACACATACTAAATGACATTAGTTACACTAAAATATTACATCATTTATTCCAAAATTTTCACAAAAGAAGCATTACGGTCCTCATGTACTATTTTTTTTTAAACTACAAAAATAGAAGTAGACAATGACAAGACACCAATAGACAAGTAACCTGCTTCTACTTAACTATGTACATTGCCTTACAAACATGTTTCTACATATTACAATGGTTTTGTAAAGGATACACAGTTCATAATAGCTCTTAGGTGATAGGACTGAAGTCCTCAGCTCTCCTAGCATAGTGGATGCATGCTTGAGAGCATCCATCTGCTTGGATTTGTCCAGGCATCTCTTCATCTGAAATGCCTACAACAAAAACATATATTTTTCAACACTAAGATGCTACAATATTGTTTTTATGGTAAAAATTATTAATTAGATTATAGTTCACCTGGACTTTGACAATATTCAACGCTTCATCTAGCAATTTCTCTTGCTCCTCAACCGGGGATGTTTGGTTCGTCATTTGTGCCTGAATTGGATACAAACTCATTAATTTAATATTAAAGTTTAGCGTAATTTGACAAAAATAACCGCAACAACATGTAACACGAAACTACAGCAACATACATTCGACCAAATATACAAGAATGGATGATTTACGTTCTCCATTTTAGACAGTTAACCACATAAATAACAAGCCACACACCTGCGTCGTGTTATAACAACAAACAGCGAAACTTTCTGCAGCTGATAAGAAAAGTTATTAAAAGAATTCTCTTTGAGATTAAGTGGGTGTTATTAACTTGGACCGTAAATTCGACCGTGTTTTTTGTAATTTTTGTTATCTGACAAGTTTTTTGACAATTTCATTCATAGATGTCACTATTCTTATATATAGATCTACAAATAGATTAAAAAGAAAATGGATTAAATAATATTGTTAATAATGTAGATTTTGATGAATAATATTATTCTTTTTATTCCTTAAAGTTTAACATTAAGAAGAAAAAGTTGTTTTTACAAAATTACTTCCCTATGAAATGAAAATGATAACTTTATCGATTTCTAAATTAACACAGCTGCTTGTCAGTTTGACATTTTAAATTTTGCTTTGTTTATAAAAATTATACTCTGTTAATGGATTCTTATCAATGTTGATCGTAAAAAAACTAATGTGAATAATAATAATGGATAATAAACCCTCGTTGAGTCAGTACTTTAGCAGTACCGAGGTTCCGCCCGCATCTCAATTTTTCGATGAAATCGGAACATCACCGTCGGAGATGATTCAAAGTGTTTATTTAGGAGAAAACGAAGGTTTTTACATTATATCTGGTTGTTATAATCATTGTAATGATTCATTATTGATATCCATGTATTATTACAGCCAATACAACTAAGACAACGAATGTATTTTCACAAAATGTGACTACATCGTTTGTGCAAACTAAAGTAACACAGGAGTTGACCTTTGGTAATGTTTTGCCAACTGTTAGTGGGTCTACGCCTATCCCTGCCACTAGTTTGCCTGATCCCTCGACATTCTTTGATACTATCGGTCCGGAACCCCAATTGGGATCTGGTAAGAGTACTATAGCAGTTCCTCCGGCTTTAATTACTGAAGCAATAGATGGTTTAAGTATTAAGGTATGTTCATATTATACCATGATTCAACCTAATTATGTAAAAGATGAAACTTTAAATACATGTTAAACATGATTGGATGGATACTATATGGCTGTATTGATCTTGCTGAAAGCATAGATGTAGAAGATAGTCTGGAAGAACACATAGACTATTTTTTTTTATTCTGCACAGACGAAGTTTTGCGCCACATCTATTAATAGATTATGTTTTCAGAACCAACCTGTTGACAAGGAAGCAGACAGACGCAGAGATGCTTGGATACCTAGTGAAGAAGCTAAAAAAACTTTGTTAAAGGTAATCTTCATAAATAAAAATCAATGTTTCCTCAATAATTTCAATTGTGTTTGTCTGCATTATTGTGTTGCATTCCTAAATCCACAAAGAGAGTTGTGCCCTAAAATATCAAAAAAATATTTCTTATTTTTTCCTCCTTTGCTTCGTTTTTCGGCGCAAATGGCCTGCTCGATTATTTGCCACCTTATAATAAAAAAAGTTTCTAATATTCTTTTTCTTATGAATGTTCTTATGTTTTTCCAGGCTCAATCATCACCTGTAGGACCATTCTTTCCTGAAAGAGAAGTACTTACTATGCCTGGTTTGGTGCTGGAAGAAGAATTGGTTAGTATTTTCACACAATCAATCAGTTACATAGATATATAGTTACTTAACTAATTAATAATTAACCAATCGGTTATTTAATGAATAAAATTAATCAGTTAATTAATAATTTAATTAATTAATTAAATCACACAGACAGATGCACTACAAGAGGTGGCAGTGAAATACCTCGGCGTCAGTTCAGCGGGGAGCCGCGGGGTAGTGCGCGCGGAACATGTGAGCAGGGATGAGGCCGGTTTGAGAGAGCTGCTCCGTACTGGATACCTCCGGGCAGCTGTTAATCTAACTGCTACATTATTAGCCGCTGCAGGTCAAGGTAATTATTAAATAGTTCTAGTTGTCCAAGCAACCTTAAAAGAATATTAGAATGAGGAATAATTAGGAATTCCATTCCTTATACAAATTGTTTCTAATTAATATGATTATATATGAAACTAGCTTGTCCCCTCGGCTTCGTCTGCACAGAATTAAAAACAAAGAAGCATCTCATGTATTACTCAATACTTTGTTGTATTCTGTTTCAAATTTAAATGAGATATTTAACCATTGTGGAGTTATTGAGTTAATCAAACTTATTGTATGGGAAGTTTAAACATTTCCTGGATCATAGGTATGTGTTCTCCCAGACTGATCTACATCTATACCAAATTATATCTATGCAGCTGATTGGGGATACCTTTGAAGATCCTTGGTAGCACATTTATAATATTAGTAAGAAGTAAGATATACCCAGGTGTTGGTCGTATGCACCGGCCAACGAAGCACACTCCCCGCTCGCTGCAGCTCTGGCTGACGAGGTTTGCAGTCATGCTGCGTATAAAACTTCACGAACCATTGCTCAAAGAGGCTGAGCCCTTTGGAGATCTCAGTAAACCAGATATGTTTTATCAGGTATTTTGCTATATGTTAAAATAAAAAAAAACCCTCCAGTCAAGTTACTCCTAATTTAGGGTAGGGTCTGAGCCCCCTGGGGGGGACCTATAGTTAGCTAATGATGATTATATTAAAAAAACAATGTACTTTATTACTTTATTGTTATTTAAAAAATAATCAATATGACATAGTTTGATTTTACTGATTCACTTTTTATACATTTTAAATTATTGATTTACCTAAGACATTCTGTTAATTTGGCATATTTAATTTTCAAAGAACCTTTACTACGGAACTCCATATCCATTTAACTAAGTAGAGTTTGTATATTTACACGTTAGCTTCCAGAATGATTTTTCTAAAAACGATTTTTTTTTTAATTTTTGTCCAAAACCATTTGAATTGAATTGGCCTTTGCGGGTCACGCTGTATACAACAATTCGAATAAAAGTCACAGTGATGCGTTAAATGGAAATATGGCTTGTCGGACGTATAGTCCGACATGGCAGCTAACGTGTTAAGTTTTATTGTTGTTGTTTAAATTATAGTAATCTATTTCTGGTCTATCAGTTTTATAGAAATTTTGGTAATATTACAGTTCTATCCCGAGTCATATGAGAATCGAACCGGTTCTTTAGTACCCTTTTCCCTGAGGCTACTAATCGCTGAATTGCCAGGACACGTGGGCAAACCAGAGGAGGCAGCTGATCGTCTGTATGTTATGTTGGATATTATAGAGCAGGTAAGTTAATATTTATTAAATTATTAATTAATCGAATAATTTATTCAGAGATTAATTAATTATGCTATATTTATACTAAAATTATAAATTAATAACTATATTCTAATAATGAACGATTAAAAACATGTTAAATATATAACCTCACTACCTTTTTTAACTATCGTCTATTTAGTTTGTTTCCCTAATATCTATTCCAGTTTGTATTATACATTAAATTAGAAGAAAGTAATATATAATAATTTTCCAGATGCTATCGAATCTACAGCAAGGGAAGACTGAAGATGGTTCAGGAACTATAACAGAGCCGGATAAATTGGAATCAATCAGATTGTGGACCGGCAGGCAGACCAGAGTGTTGCATTCTATAGTCAATTGTGCTATTGCTCTAAAGGTGAGAACTTGTTCTAAAATATTAATGTCTCTTATCTCACTAACAATTGGTTTCGGAGATCATAATCTCTGTATAAAACTCTAGCTGTCGCCCGCAACTCCGTCTGCGTCGAATTAAAAAAAACTTTAAAAAGTAGCCGATGTGTTCTTCCAGACTACGTTCTACCGAGATCCGTTGTGACGTTCCAGATATACTTTCAAACATCCACCCATCAATCTAAATATTCGCTTTTATAATATTAGTAAGATTGTCATCCCTGTTCCATTATCTTTGAAAAACATGGAACTTTTAAACTAAAATATTGGTCTCGGAAACCCATGGTTAGAAAATACAATAGACAAAGTCGCGGGTAAGTTTAATGATTTTAATCTTACAGGACTATCGTTTAGCTAGTAAGATATTAGTATCACTTCAAAAGGAAGCTTCATCACCGGCGCAGAAGAGAGCGCTGTCGAGTGCACTCTGCCGCTTGTGGCTGTTAGCCGGACATTTGAAGGCAGCTATGTTACATCTCGAAGATGCTAGAGAAACGAGGCATCATTTGTAAGTGGTCATAAATAAACTCGATGAATAATTAATTACACGATTATTTTGGTTATTTAATAAATAATTTATAGTAATTGTTCGATTAATTACATTAATTAATTAATAATTATTCTAATAATTATTAAGTATCTGACTGTATATTATATATTCAATTATTGTAATGACATTAATTAATAAAAAAAAATATTTTAAAACTATTAATTAATTGGAGTTAAAAATGCGTTAACTGTTATTCTTCAGATGCCCAACACCAGATGTTCGGGAATACGTTGACTTAGGCCTAATCGATATTGCGTACGGCAAATACCAGGATGCATATAACAATTTCGCGAGAGCTGCAGAACAGGAACCAACCAATATAATGGTGAGTTAACTGTTTTGTTAATATATGTATAGTCAGCTGCATAAATATGTATACATTTATAAAGCAGAAACTTGTGTACGCCTTTAGTTCACAAAAATGTATCCATGTATATGTCCGTATGCTTATGACGAACACGGGCATATGTGTTTTTGTAACCGAAGGTGTTTAGGAGTTTCTAAAAGATATGTTCAGAATTATTTAATTAAATTCACTTGGATTCATAAGAAAATTCTATTTCAAGGTGGCCAACAATTTATCAGTCTGTCTCCTCTACATGGGTCGTCTAAAGGAAGCGATCGCGGTACTCCAGAAAGCCATCAACTCTGACCCTGAGAGAGGTCTCAACGAGAGCCTTTTGATAAACCTTTGCACACTTTACGAATTAGAATCTTCTAAAACCAATGAAAAGAAATTAAATCTCCTTAGAATGTTGTGTAAACACAAAAGTGATACTATACCTAATGTATTAGAATGTTTGAAGCTTGCTTAAGTTGCCTTTAGAATCTAAATACAGGATACATTGCAATAAAAAGATATGTTTAATTCAAATTCCGACTGACTGTACCTTTACTCACTGTTGGTTTCTGAAGCCAAAATCTTCGTAAAAAACCTATTGTCATCCCTGTCATTATCGTTGACAAAACAGAGATAACAATATGTTTAGGTGTGTGGTCTCAGAAACCAACAACTAGAGATAGAATACGAGTCGAATCCTTGCAATCGGTTCAACGACAATGTCATTTATTGTCTATGGATTTGTTTTGGGAAGTTTCAGTGTTCAAATTGATTATACAAACATGTCTGTTTTAATTAGTCTGTGGTTAGAGTTATAAAGGTTATATTGCTTAGATAGGTTTGTTATAATTTCTTATTTCCATTGAATTCAGCTGAAAACTATACATGAAACATATAATGCTCTTGTCAGTCGGATCATAGAATATAATTCAAATGTCAAAGTGAAAGCTAAAAGTTTCTATCTAATGGTTCATTTTAAGCGCAATCCCTAGTGCCCTAATTATTTACCGAAATAAGCATAAATAGATTTTCATTTATTTAGAATGTGTAAGAAAAATAGAATTACGTTACATTTGATTATATTATTATATAAATGTAGGTATAAAAATAAGCAAAACAAAAACATGTAGTTAAATATTTATTTACAATAATTACAAAATTATATAAGTCTATGTATCTTAATCACAGAATTTCTTTTAAATACAATGGTGGTGGCCAATCATTGCTTACATCATATAAGAATCAATTAAAATTAAAAGTTCATTGAAGATTAAAAAGAAGGTTATATAAAAAAAGAAAAAAACAAAGGATATTTTAAGTGAAAAAACGAATTTCTATTTAACAAAATATTCAACTAAATGCTATACACCTGTTCACAATATGTAACTTTAAAAAAAGCGAATTCATTTATAAAAGCAATTATCGTTGTTTGAGACCAAATCTCTGTATAAAATCATTACCAACTAACAGAGAACGCTTTATGCAAGGATTCTGGTCTCAGAAAGTAACAATTAGCAAAGCAAGTAAAAGCTTAATATATACATTTTTTGGAATATTAACTTTAAATTAAAGGGCACACAACCAAAAGTAATCCTACACAATATTAATTAATTCATTATAGATAAATAAAAAAATATTACAAATAAGAAAGATTTGACGATTATTATTTTTAATCAAATATAGATTAATAAACTTGGCTGCAAAGAACATCAGCTTTTGCCTTTTTGTAGTAAAAATGAACTGTCAAATCATTTAACACCCATTCAAAACATATGGTCATTTTGTTAATTGTTTGATTAATATTAATTATGAAAATAAACATTTTTATGAAGTAATTTCTTTTATTTCTCATTTTTATAATTTATTATTTTGTTACTTATTGTTATTTATGTAACATAACATTATAAAAATCTTGTTTAAACACTCAATGGATGGCTCTCAATATTATTTATTTCTTTTTTCCATACATGCTGTGTACACTCGATGACCATAATTTAGTCTGACTTTTTAATATTGCAATTTTTCTCCTGATGCTCCGATTAAAAAACTTCCAGTTACAATCTAGCAATTGTTCTAAGAATTTAGTTCATAACTGTCCACTATCAAACTTCAAACCACATCTTATTACTATATTGTAACTACATCTTTCTATAAATAGTAAGCAATCTTATGAAAAACAAATATATATTTTTTAGACAATACCACATTATACTAATATTGCAGTTTAAAACAATTTAACAAAGCTTTAGCACAGAAATTTAAACATGAAAATAGTTAAATTATTCAAACTTTCATGACACGTTATCCTTAACTTACATAAAAACGGCTAAAACACTCAAACATCTGCAAACCCAGCCCCACTCACCCTGATAAAAGGCCTCCGAGGTGCTCGTCACTACTCGGTGCCACCCCCCAGATGAACATATATATTTTTTATAACAGAAGGGGGCAAACGAGCAGCGGGGACACCAAGGTGTTAAAACATATGAGTGTATAATATAATATGTGAGTGTTTTAACCGTTTTTATATAAGTTAATGACAATACTTTGTAACCCTGCACTATACTTATAGGTGTTATCTTATACCTTAGTGTCCTAATACTTTTTATGAGTTTTTACAATACAATTTTAGGGCATCTTAAGATAGTGCTTGACAAATTTTGGTCATAAGTGTACCATTCCAATTTCCTTACAGATAAACATATCTCTTTAGAAACACCCTTTAATATATCTGAGCTATCAAGATGGACAAGACTATCACACTATATTAGACAGGGGTAGACCTTTTCAAAGTTCCATCAAATAATTTTGACTTTCCGATTATTATGAAAATTTCATAGCAAAGAGATATCACTAATATTCGCTCCTCATATTATACTTAACATTTTTTTACAGTATATAATAAATATCGTGATCAGTGACATGTCCAAATTGTGCCAAGGATTCGCCATCCCTGACATAGTCAGTAGCACTGAATGTATTGAAAAGCAATTTTTAATACACTCATGTACAAAACCAGTATCCCAACACTTTGAACTACTATTTTTAAAGTCATGTATCAATTGATCGCCGTTTTTCATAAATCCACCTTGGAGCCCATACCTACAAGGGGTATCGCTTGCAATTCTGATCGTATACATAGAAATTCACCCATCACACATGTGACCGCTGCACATGCGACATTCAAAGTCCACCATGAGAATGTTGTTGGAAATGTTCCGTTGTATATCCAACATGCAAGCAAATGTAAACCGTGGAATGTGCAACTGGAAAGATGTTAATTATTGTATTTTACAAAATGATAATTACTAAATTGTGTTAAGAATAAAAGCCAGTCTATTGACTCAACACTAGCCTTACTAAAAGGTTGATGTTTGTGTCCTCTCAGATTAATTCTGACACTGGATTTTGTAGCGAGAGGGCGTCATTCGCGCCAAGGTATTTTGCATGTAGAATATTTTATTAATTCCACTAATTAATGTGAGATAGGATATTAGATTCATCTAGACAATGATAATCTCTCTTGTCAGCCATGTGACAATGATAATCTAGTATTCAAAAATTATAATTATTATTAATTAATTAATTGATTAATTATTAATTAATAGAATTATTAATCAATATTATAATAAATACTGGACAGTCCATAATAAATACTAAATGGCCCTAACAAAACTAATAGTTGACATTTAACCAAATACAAAAGAATTACTATTGTAGTCGCATAAAAGTTGACTTGTTTAAAGGAGTGATGATAGGTTTAACAAATGATAGATCAATTTAGACCCAGGACAGAACTGAGAGATGATTATTATTGTAATCTTTTTAAATTGATTTCAGTGTAACACTTACCTAAAGTCAAGGCACAGTTTTGTTCTGCCAACAACATTCCAAAGAAGAAATGCACCAATTACTGCATTAATTCCAAAAGCAATTATCACCGAGCGGCCCTCTAAGTCTCTTACATGTATCTCCTAAAACATAAAGACATATCTTAAAAAGTCTTCTAATAATAAAAAAAAATCAAAAAAACTAAGAATATCTTATTAATCTAGAGTAAATTATTTTATTAATAAAAAGAGACTGGCTAGGAAGTAAGCATGGCCTACAATGTTAAGTCACCTCGATAGTCATCAACAAAATTGGACATATTTACCTATGTTAGACATCTTTAGATATGACGAATATAATAATAATAATGAATTATTTACTAACATGGTACTGAAATATGTGGTCTAAGGTCCGTGTGGATCCCGTCAAATCTTGCATCACTGCGATCAAAAGGCACAAAGTAAGGTACAGAAGGAACTGCATTGCCACTATTTGAGACACGATCAGACACGGGTCCCATTGCGTATAGCGGAAAGAGCCTGATAATTTCTTTATTTTGGACATTACGATTTTGCACTGGCGATTTCTTCTTTATATCTATCTACGCAAATTATGTTTGATACATTCTTGAAGTTGGAACTTTAATAACTTCTTATGATCTTGCGGAGTAATTGCACATATGGTAAATGTTATTGGGATGATGAAATTAAATAAATTTCGCGTATTTCGTTTTGGTCGAGTTCGATTCTATGACATGTTTATGACATTTAGATGACACATCGATATGTCAAATCAAATTAAAAAATAGTATTTAGAAATATGGTTATGCTATAGATACATGGTTTATCGCCACCTGTTAAATCAAAGTGAGAAAGTAATGAAAACATTTTTTGCTCCTTTTTAACCATAGAAAGATTTATAAAATAAATTATATTTGAATAAGCAAATCCGAAAATATAATCGAATCCGCCTGAGTTACAGAACGATTAACTACCTGTGATTATGCTAATGAGATGAATTGATACTCAAATATTTTTGAAGAATCGATCGTTCTATAGCTCTTTTTAAATACCTACCTTCATAGTTCATATCTTCTCCTTGTAATTATGTCTTGATTGAACTCTAACTCGTAAAAAAAGAAATACGCAAACAAATAATTTCGTTTCTTATTACAGTATTTGTTCAATAATGGTTACAAATTATTGTATTACTTTTCAACAAATAGTGACAAAGTAATTTCGTCGTGTTAACATAAAATATTCATGGTATTAAAATGCAATTAGCATCAATCTTGACTTGATAAGCTTGGGGAAATACTATGTATACTACGACGCTTTTCATTTTTTTATATTTTGTGTAACCGTCTTCTTATTTTTATATTCTTCAAACATTAATCCAGAAATAACAGAGGTCAATAAATAAAAGTATGATTTCATGGCGAAATAACGTGATACGATTTCCATTAATTTGGTATTGTCACCGGTAAATTATGAATCAAATTATTTTGCTAAACTAAATTGTAAAGACTTTCATTCACATAATTACATTTCGTTTATTTGTTAAGATGCAAATATCTTACTTTCTTACTAATATTATTAATACGAATATTTGGATGGAAGGATGTTTGATTGAAGGTATCTCCGGAACGGCTGCATTGGATCTCGCTAAAATTTGGCATAGATGTAGAACATAGCCTTGAAAAACACACAGGCTACAGCTAGTAATAAATAATTTTATGAATGTATTCAATCGATCTGTTATTGGCCTTTTAACAATTTGTTTAAGTAAATTTTAAATAGATGGCGTTCACGACTTCCCGGTGACGGGGACACATACCAAATTAACAGGGACTGTTGTTTTTTTTACATGTCTCGACAACGAAGCAATTTCATCCAATCGTAACTGATTGGTCCTAACTGAAACATATTATACTGCATACAGCTCAGACTGAATACAACGAGGTATTATATAAAAAAATAGCTGCAAAAAACACGGAAAATAACTAAGATTTTATTAACCGACATGGTCTATCAAAGTGGCGCTTATTATACACCAGAAAAAATACATTTGTAGTAATAATAATTCTTAGTAACGAAATAAAATACCTTATTACATTTTAAGTTACAGTTAAATTTTAATGGAGAGTGAGTATCATTAAATTTTATAAATAAAAGTCACTTTTCGTGATTACTCTTTGACTCATATATTCTACTAAACTATGGAAAATATAAAAATAATATTAACTATCATGTAGCTTATGTATTCCGGATTATTTGTATATAATTGATTATAACTAAACTTTAGTATACGTAAATAAACAGCGTATTATTGAACGCCATAATTTTTTTTTTTCATGGGAAAAAAACGCAACTCTTATAGGATCACTTTGTTGTCTGTCTGTCAAGACCCTTTTTCTCAAAAACGCGTGAAGGTATCAAGGTGGAATTTATTTGACTTATGCTAACTACGAGACAAGCCGAAGACAGGACGGCGTGGAGGCAGCTGGTCGTCACGGCCGTTGAAGCGTACCAGCACAAACACGACCTTCAGTAATGAAGAATACGAAGAAGAAGAAGAAGAACTAAACCGTTAGATCTATTTAAAATCTTTGTTAAATAGCATTAAAAAAACATAAAAATATCTTATTTCTTACTAATATTATAAAAGAGTAAATTTAGATGGATGGATGGAAGTTTGAAGGTATCTCCAGTATGGATCTCGCTGAAATTTGACATATATGTAGAACATAGTCTGGAAGAACACATAGACTACTTATTAAGTTCCATTAATTCTGTGTGAAATCGCGGGCGACAGCTAGTGTACATTTCCAAGACACACATAGGAATGATTATTGACGTAAAAGATGTCTTTACACATTTTATTCTAAATGCGTGGATTTATCTCATACTAACGGTCGCCGCGACTCCGTCCGCGAGATCCGCTCAGCCGTTTCGGAGATACCTTCAAACAAACATCCATTCATCTAAACATTCGAATTTATATTAGTAAGATAAGTAAGATTATTTTAGTCATCCATCGGCTGTTTTTAATCTATTTATTAATTACTTGCAGTAATTATGTTGATACGTACTGACTAATTAATAGATAGTGATACCAAAAAGGTTGATTAGACAAAAAAAATATGTGTTAGAGTAAGCCTTATGCCTAACGTGACCATTTATTTTTAAAGCAAAAATGGGACATTGGTTTAACTAGGATAATTAAAAGGTAGTCATGACAAACTTTTTCACAACACAACTTTACTTTAAGGTGAGTATGATTACCTGATGATTTTAAGAAAGAATGAAACTCGAAACTCTTACCACATTTCTTATATTCGCTTAATTACTAACGTCGCCTGAACTGAAATTTGAACTGGGTTTTCTATCATATGGGTTGATAGACGATGCAGTCTCACTCGCCAATCGCATCGGTTGACACGACTGTTTAATTTTTTTCGCAGTTTAAAAAACGGGACAATTTGGCGTGCCAGAATTCTTTTGGGACACCGGTACACATAATAAAAAGGGACAGTCCCGTTCAAAATGGTAAGTCTGGTCACGCTACTTATGCCCCTTCTATGTCTACATTAACAATTTGAATCTCTTTGGCACACATTGCATTGTGTGATAAAAATTTATAAATTAGTGTACAAAATGGTAGCATCGAGAGCGGTCGTCTTTTGGTAAGTTTAATTGTGATAAAAATTCGACAACTATTTACGTGAATTACTTAATATTTCGCAATTTATCACTTCTTAATACGCTTGTAGATTTTATTAGAATTTTATTAAATTTTTATACTGTATTGTTTGAATTTTTTAAACTTATATTTACTGTTATATTTTATTATTTTTCAACAATTTAGAGTTCACGAACTTCTATAAAACGTGCCGTAATATTTAGATCTTAATTTATGATGAGTAAAGTTGGATTGTGTGAAAGAGGACATGCGTTAGAAGAGTTTGAATTCAGATATAACGGCTGATAGTTGTATGGAGTAGTACATGCTGTACCTCTTGAAATAAGGGTAGTTTACTGATGAGTGTTCATGAAAATTAATTAAAAACAATTATTATACTTGGCCTTAATAAGTGTAGATAAATATTTAACCAAAATCTGTTATCAGTCCTCCAGAACTTATCAATGTTTTTTTAAACAGGGTTGATTGTGTGGTATGTCGGGGGTTATATATGAAACAACGTACGATAAACAACGAAAAGCAATAAATATAACAAAAATAAACAAGCAATTAACAAAATTGTAGCATCCAATTTATTTGAAAGCCATCGTATTTTTATATAAATAGAATGTTCTTTAATTTTCAGTTCCAAAACGTATTAACAGTCAAAATATGTGCCCAAACATATTGAACTGTCATATCGTATACGTATTAATGATAACAAGATAGAGAATTGTTTCTTATCTATTTTCTATATACCTACTAGCGGACCCGACAGACGTTGTCCTGTCTATTAAAATAAAAAAATTAAAATTCGAATATTATTTAAAATTTGACACTGCGATGGTAGCGCCGTCTGTCGCATCCAATGTAAACAAACATTCAACAACAACATTCCAAAATCAACAACTACTAATAAATTAAAAATTAATTAAAAAAACATTGTCCAGCGGACAAAATTGTGAATCTAAACCATTCCCAGATCCCCTTGAACACACACAATAAATTCCATCCAAATCGGTCCAGTCGTTTGAGAGAAGTTCAGTGACATACACACTCACAGAAGAATTATATATATAAAGATATTTATGTCAACATGCAATATAAATTACTAGGCCTAGAAATTTGAAAATCTTCGTTGAGATTTCTCTTGATATGCAGGCAAAGGCAAACAGTAAAAGGATATTAAAGTTTGCAGGGTGAAGTATTTTCCCTTCTCTTTCTTGGATATGTCCATCTGCAAAAAAATTCTTCCGTTTGGGTAAAAAAATGCATAAATAAATATAATTCAATCCCACTAAGGGAACATACCCATACTACATAACCTATTTTTTTAGTTTTTTCTAAGTTTTTAAAGACTGCATGCATACTTAAATTACTAGTGAATTAAGTATTATGAAAAAGAACAACTAACGACTACGTGACAAAAACCTGAGCACACCCCCGCTCCTGTAACTGACCGTAGTCTTTTAAAGACTGCTAAAGTGGGCACGTGGTATGGGTACGTCCCCTAACCGAGTTGTTATCGATCCTGTAGCTAAGTAAATAATTTGATAATAATATCAAAAAGAATGATAAGGTTTTAAATCATTGCTTAGTTACATAACGTTTTGTGTTATCTGATGTTTACAGTAATTATGTATTACAATATCCTGAATGTATTTACATCGTAAGTTTTTAATCAAGAAGTATTCTGCGGAACTTTTTGGACGACTCTGCAGAACGCCAGGTACTAGCTGGATTGCTAGCGTTCTATAATACTGGGGTTTTCTTTATTCCTCTCACAGCCGCGTTGTTGAATATCCATTGGCGATATTTCCAAACTAATCCAACTTAGCGTATTTTGCAGGCCGGCAACGCATCTACAGTTTCTCTAGTGTTGTAGATGTTCATGGGTGTCGTTGATCACCTCGGTGTTCCCGCCGTTCGTTTGCCCATTTTGTTATAAGGAGCAAACGAGCGGCAGGAACACCATCATCATCGACGCCTGTGTACATCCCAATTCTTATGGAATGAACAAAAAAAAATGAAATAGTAACTAGGATTATAAATGCATAGATAAAAAATCTTATTTTTGGAATAACGACGTAATATATGCAAGACAATCAATTTCCCATATTCAATTCTTTTAAATATTGAATATCTTGTTTTTAAAATCCTTAAGACCTCTAAAGATCTCTGTCGTCCTGAAAAATCTGATCCTGCTAAAGTTTTAATAACATTTTTAAATGGTTCAGTATACACAAGGAACAAACAAACAAACGTTGATTATTATTATTTACGTAAAGAAACTTTTTACAGTACGCTAGCGAGCCTCGTCTGCGGTGAAATCCGCAAGTTCCCTCCCGGCTTCAAATGGGGCGCCGCTACATCTTCTTATCAAATAGAAGGTGGATGGAACGTAAGCGGTTCGTAATTTGCTGTTTATATTATTAAGAACATTTAGTCAAAGCCTTAAGGAATCGACAAACAGAGCACTTTAAGTGATAGACGAACTGCAGTTGACCTTTGATATCATCTAACTTACTATATGACTCCCCTTGGCTTGGAGCCTACCCTAAGTTAGTAACTAGACCATAGTCAATGCTGGCCCAGTGCGCGTTGACTTCACACGTATATTTGAATTTCTTTGTAAATATATCAGGTTACATCACGACTGTCTATGTCTATGACATGTCTTCCTTCATCGTAAGAACGTCGGATAAATCACACAACACATTGGTACACGGCGCGATTCGAACCCAGGAACTGCAGATAACAAGTCAATTGCTTAAGTTCTGTACCACTGACGCTCATATCGTATCTATCCGTGGGATTCTGCTACCAAAATCTTTGACAAAAAAGGGATAACAATATGTTTTTAAGGGCGATTTTGGCCTCACAAACCCACGGTAAGTGCAGTAACCATGACTGGCCAATTGGTAAAACGGTAAATGCATCGGATTTGTCGTAAACCGTATGAAATATTTGACAGAATACTTAAAACGGATTGTCACGTACGCTTTAACGCGGTGAATAATAAAAAAAAAACTAAATCAGATTACAAAAGATCTTTTATCATTGGGTCGGCAGTAATAAAATTTGTTTCGTGCATATGGGAATTGTTGCAGATAAAGGTGAGAACATCTGGGATAGATTTGTACATGATAATCCTGACGCGATTACTGACGGCAGCAATGGGGACGTTGCTTGCGACTCCTACCACAACTGGCAGGAAGATGTCAGGATTTCTGCGGAACTGGGATTGGATTTCTACAGGTGATACAATAGCTAGTAAATTTATTTTTAAATTTTTTGCGCTTCTGGTGACATGCGGTTATTCATGGCTACTGTTTGGCTAATTCTTAGTGGAAAAGTGACCTACAGTGTAAACCATCCATTCTTTTCACAAGAAATCTTACTAATAATGTAAATGAGATTGTTTGAATGTATGGAATCTTTCTAAATCCATCCAGACGGATGGATAGATGTTTGTTTAAAGGTATCTCCAAAAAGTTTCAACGGATCTTGCTGAAATTTGGCATAGAACATAGTCTGGAAGAACACATAACCTAATTACTATAATACGTTTTTTTTAATACCACGCAGACGGAATCGTAGCTGTAGACCAAAAATATTAGTTACTTTGAATTAAAACGATCAGACGTATTTTTGAGGTTTTTTTAAAAGTTAATCTCATGATTTATTCATTAAAATTCAAGTAATTTTAATTAATTGTTAGATGTAGATGTGTTAAAACGTAAATTTAAATAATTACTATTACAAAGATTTAGGAAATATATGGTAATAAATGTTTTGTTTAAAAAAGTTCATATGTATATAAATATGTATTTAGTTAAGTATATAAAAAATAAATTACGTCCCGGTTACTAGGCAGGAGTTTTTGAAGTATGGATGGATGTTTGTAAGAAGGTATATCTTTAAAACAGCTGCATGAATCTTGCTTAATGGCATAGATGTAGAACATAGTCTTTTTTTTATATCAAAAGGTAGCAAACGAGCAATCGGCCACCCGAAATCGCTGAAATAACGAAGTGACCGTTGCCCATAGACATACGCAATCGCATATGCGTTGCCTACCTTTAATCGACGCATGAGAGGATGCACAAAAAGAAAATATTTTCCCTTCCAATGCATCCTCTCATCCGGAAAGTCCACTTCCACTTCCTGTCCTTTCCTTCTAAGACCAAGGGTGAAGAGGGAAAGAGGGCTAAATTAGTCTGGAAGAACACATAAGCTACTAATTAAGTTTTTTTTTATTCCGCGCGGACGGATTCGCGGGCAACTAATATTTATGCTTGTTCTTCAAAATGTATTCAAAAGCTAAAATAAGTTAAGAACCACAATATTTTAAACAACTTCTTATGCTGTTATATTTGGGTAGTAACCAAATATATATGTAATTAGTTTTCCTTTAAATGTACGCTTAGAATTAAATATAGTATAATAATGCCAGATTAGTTACACGTCACGGCTTTCAGACTTTTGTTTAACCTGTCTTCCGTCTATTCGTACGCGCATTAAAAAAACTTAATTAATAGTCTATGTGTTCTTCCAGACTATGTTCTACATCTATGCCAAATTTCAGCGAGATCCATGCAGCTGTTTTGGATATACCTTCTAACAAACATCCATATATCTAAACATTCGCATTTATAATGTTAGTTTAGTTTCATTTAATCCATACTAAAGTATGGATTAAATTAAACTTTAAGAATTTATTAGCTGTTTGATGGGCGTGAAATAAAAAAATAACCTAAAAAATTTGATATCCGTTACAAGCAACGGAAAATATCGTATTCATGAAGTATGACTTTATTTTTCGATATATATTTTTTGGCTAAACAACTTATAAATACGTGATATACTTTTAAGGTTTTAAAATTATAAAGAGGTTTAATTTTTTAAGATAGTTTACTATTTTGGCGATTCGTTGCTCGTTTGCTCACTTCTCCTATAAAAAAAATATGGTCCCGTTCTCGGTTTTTCAGAGATACTTGATTTATTTAGGTTAGCATGCTACAAATTTATTGGGAATTTTTTCTTACTTAAATGGAGCCTAATTTCTCTTAATAATTTAGTAATTAATAACTTTTTTGTCGGTTTGTACCGTTGGCGTTAAAATGTACTACATCAGGTACTTAAAGATAGGCCGTTATCTAATGACCGATAACAACAATTTATATAATAATTTATCTGTTTGCTTTAATTTATCTAAAGATTTAATAGCTAAAAATACAAACAATCAATATTCATCAAAATATAATTTCACATAATTTACAAACGCACCTTTGCTATTTTATTTTGACAGGTTTCCTTAAACAACAACACTTTATCGTTTATTATTTATTATACTGGATTATAGGTAGCTTATATGTTCTTGTAGACTGTGTTTATCTGTACTAAATTCCGGAGGTCCATTAAGACGTTCTGGAGACAACTTGTAACAAAAAGCCATCTCAATATCCACAACTAAAAAATTAGTTAGATTTTAATATTTTAATTTTTGTTTCTTTTGGTGTACAATATGCAACTACATTATTTATTGTAGATTCTCGATGTCATGGCCAAGACTTTTACCAACGGGTACGAGTGAAAGAATAAGTGAAGATGGCAAAGCTTATTACAACAATCTTATCAACGGACTGTTAGAGAAAGGCATACAGCCTGTCGTCACTCTATACCATTGGGACTTGCCACAGAGATTGCAAGATTTGGGTGAGTTAAAAGTAAAATATAATTGACATTGTATATTTTTATAAAGTAACCAATATATTTTTAAACAACATTTTTGTTTGCAATTCTGTAAATACAAATAATTGCTATTTTTTTAACAAAGGGCAACAAGTGCACTTAGTTTTCTTCTCTACTGTTTCATGCTTTTTGAAGATTAATTCTTTATAAATATTTTTGTAGGTGGCTGGGCTAATCCGTACATAGTGGACTGGTTTGCGGACTACGCGAGAATAGCGTATAAACTATTCGGTGATCGTGTGAAGACCTGGGTGACGATAAATGAACCAATTGTTGTATGTGATGTTGCTTATAATACTGGGCAGTTCGCCCCCGGTATCAAGGATCCGGAGTTTGCGAGTTATTTATGCAATAAGAATATTTTATTAGCTCATGCTAAAGCTTGGAGAATATATGATGAAGAGTTCAAGCCTAAATATCATGGTTTGTTTATAGTTTAACTTTTTAGGTTAGGTCAGTTTCGGTCTAGGGACAACCTTAAACGTAAATAGGTCATTGACATCAGACCGACATCGGCTCCGAAATATCAATAATTGTAAAGAATAGACACATTTCAAGAAAGGATATTTTATTACTTTCGCGGTTGTTTGTTCAAGATGTTATTTTGTTACTTTTTACTGCATTTTGTTTCAGTATGTTTTTTTAAACGATATTTTTAGGTTATTTTTTGTCGAAACTAGAATATATCTATATAAATAAAAAAATGTTTTGTAGCGTTTGCTATTACTTTAATTAGTGAGACTTTTGACATTTTTTTGGTGATCTTTAGTAATCTTCTTTCTTGCATTGTCAGGCAAAGCTGGGATTACAAACCAGTTGTTCTGGATAGAGGGCGCTTCCAATGAATATGATGATTTGGCAGAACTAGTAAGGCAATACATGGTGAGATTTCAAAGCTAATTTTCTTAATAAATTATAGTTTGTTAATTAAAAAACTCTGACTCTTCAAAAAAGAAGAAAATTCGAATGATATTTCACGCGTTAAAATCGCAACAGTTATGTAGGCTCTAAGCCGTCACAAATTTATATACTAGCTGTCGCCTAGGGCTCCGTCCGCGCATAATTTAAAAGACAATAAGTAGCCTATGTGTTCTTTCAGACTATGCACCTAAACATCCATTTAAACATCGCATAAGAAGGAAATCCGACACTCTGCCGTTGAACTGGCCCAACACTAGCCTTATTAAAACATCAACGTTTATGTCCCCTCACTAATCATTCTGACACTTGTCTTTGTAATGAAAGCAAGTCATTCGCGCCAAAGGATTCTAATTAATAAAGTCTAAAAATACGAACGAAAAACATTGTCCTCTTTATCAATCAGCATTTTAATATACGTAAATATTTTTACAGGCGGGTATGTACTCCCACGCTATCTATACAAAAGAGGGTGGATGGCCACCACAGATAGAAAAACTAATCGCAGAAAAGAGTAAGAAAGAAGGTCACCAACGTTCTAGACTTCCTCCATTCACTAAAGATGAAATTGAATTTATTAAAGGTATTGTTGTTATTGTTTTTGGTTCAATCTTTATAACTTGTAAAAAAACTTGTTTTTTTCTTTCTAGTTGCTAGACATGTTTACTTAAGTTGGCACGTAGGGCCATAGAGTACTCTTATTTCCAAAGTGCCTACTCAAATTAAATATTTGTTCAATACAGCTCAACTAAGGGAACGTACCCATACTACGTGACATGTTTAGGGGGCGGGGGGGAGCGGAGTCTTTAAAATACTACGATCAGTCACAGGAGTGGGGGGAGGGGGGCTCAGATTTTAGTCACGTAGTCGTTACTTTTATTTTTTCAAAATACATAATTCACTAGTAATTTAAGAATGCATGCAGTCTTATGCTATAAAGAAAAGTATGAGCAAATTTTTTTTTTCAATTTTTGCATGTGAAATTATTTAAAATCATAATTATGAATTATTACGTAAAACCTTAGCAGGGGGTACCTTAGCATTTACTACGAGTGGTCACCGAGGGGTGGGAGGGGTCGAAAAAACTATAAAAATAGGTCACGTAGTATGGGTATGTTCCCTTATGTTATTCGGTTTGTATTCAAAACTGATATATAAACACGGCTAAACACTTACGTGTATTCGTCCGGTGGCAGTACCGACTAGTTTCGAGCCCACTCTGAGCGAGCTCAAGTGAGCGACGGGTCGCGTCCGCGAAATAATATCAGTATCACTCATCCTGATGAAGGGCCCCGATGGGCTCGAAACTAGTCGGTGCTGCCACCGGACGAATATACGTGAGTGTTTAGCCGTGTTTATATATCAATTTAGTATAATGTCTCACGGTTTGTGTTCTTCTATGTACTTAGTAATCAGGTTTTGAACTAGATATAAGTTGTTTACTATTCGATAATATCTCTAGTCGAAACATTTAAATATTTTAATCTACTCTTCCCTTATAATTACAATTAATTTTCATAATTATAGGCAATAAATAATCATTTATTTTTTCTTGCTTGCTAATTATCTATATGTCAAACATGTTTTGATGATGCCGTTATGATTTTTTTTTTTAATTTAAAAAGGGAGTTCCCACCAGCCAATGACTTGGCATAAAAATAACTTCTTTTTTATTCCAAACATGTGGTTCGATTATTTAAAAAAAAAAACGAAGTCGATTTTGACTCTGTTAACTGTACTTTAGAATTTCGAATTAGTTTCTTCCGATTCGATAGAGGAGGGAGGGGGGTGTGTAAACTGACTACAAATTCTTAAATGCACGTATGTATACTTTTAATCGACACACACACACACACACACACACACACACACACACACAGTCTCGTATAGGATACTATTTACAAATCAATTAAAAAAAAGATTAATTAATTTAGATTTTTAATCTATCCTTGTCAGTTATAGATAACTATTATTGTCAGGTACATACGATTTCTACGGTTTTAACTACTATACGTCACGTCAAGTCCGTAAGTCCAGACCCGGGGATGTGATAGGATCTTGGCCTCTTGGCTCTGGAGCTGTGGAACTGGACGCAGCTTTCGAAATACATCCTACTTGGAAGAAAACTGATACATTTTGGTTCTGGGTATGTTTTCATCAATAGATATATTCGGGACAGTCTTTAGACTTAAAAAAACGATTTAAAAAATCAGGTGTTCAAAACATTTTTTCCTACTTTTTAGACAAATTTATATTGCGTAGTATTTTATATATATGTTTTATTTTCTATAGTTTTCGGCCACGACTCCGTCCGTCCGGAATTTAAAAAACAAACTGAATTAGCGTGTTCTTCCAAAGTTCTGGAGATACCTTCTAAAAACATCCATACATCTAAACTATTGCATTTATAATATTAGTAAGATAAAATTAATTTTCTTGACTTTTACAGATTAATGCGCCCGGTTTTAGGAATATGATGAAATGGATAAAGAATAATTACGGCGATATTGAAATACTCGTAACAGAAAATGGACTTGCAATAGGACAAGTTGGTCTGAATGACGTCGACAGAGTTAAATATTATAGAGATCATTTAGAACAGGTATTAGTCAGAAGTGCATCAAGATATTTAAAAAAAACTCCTTGTTTATGATTTATTAACTGTCTCGCTACTCCAACTTCGCGGAATTATAAAAAAAACCTTAATTAGTAGCCTATGTGTACAGCCAGACTATGTTCTATATATGCCAAATTTTGTGGAGATCCGTTAAGCCGTTCTGGAGATACCTTCTAACAAACATCCATCCATCTAACTAAACTTTCGCATTTATAATATTAGTAAAATAAGTTTATACGAATCGATGGATGTTTGTTTGAAGGTATCTCCGGAACGGCTCAACGGACCTTGATGAAATTTGGTATAGATGTTGACGTAGTCTGGAAGAACACATAGACTAATTAAGTTTTTAATTTCGCGAGGACGGAGTTGCAGGCGACAGCTAGTACAGTGTAAAATGCATTTGTAACATCTAGATGTGGCTGACGATCAACGAGGACGGTGTAAACGTGACTGGATACACCGCGTGGTCGCTGATGGATAACTTTGAGTGGACAGACGGATATATGTAAGTAGTCAAAGTATATAAATATTAAGGAGATAGAGAAGAGATAGCAATGTAGGTCCACATACGTTCCAATTATAGGGCGCCCTGGGCGATTTATTTGCGGCCCTTTTTTGTGTGTGTCGGTGAAAATTTTCTAAATTTAGGGTATGTTATAAGGCGCCGCAGCGACCTTTTATTTCCAACACTAACCCCTGTGGCGCCCCTGTACGCCCGGCGCCCTGGGCGGTCGCCCACCTCGACCTACCCTAACACAGTATACAGTACACATCGCAGTACTGCCATTTTTAAAAACACATTTAACCCTTAGTAGCCTAGAGTTTCAATTTTGATACCAATCTTTTAAACCGAATGTTCACATTACTATTAGTTTTTTTTTATAGGTTGGCTGTACCTATTTTACTGTTGTATAATATTCTTTCCAAAGAAATTAAAAAAAAACAAATTTCATTATTGTTTTATTTTATATCAAATAAATCACGTTCGCATGTAAATCAGGCTACTAAGGGTTAACATAGACATATATATGGATAGAAGGGACATAATGAACTAAACCGAACTCACAAAAAGATGTACCATTGGTAAAGAGTCAGTTGTCAAGTTTAAGAGTTATGAAAAAAACAGTACTGAAGATTGTGCTTAAAAAATTTATAACAATGTGCTCCTAATGTCCACTCTATTCTTATTATATTTTAATCTCTCTTAACATTGTATATTAAAACAATTGTAATATTGCATTGTTGTACTGCTTTGTTTTCATAATTGCAAATTATCTCTTATTCCAGTACAAAATTCGGTCTGTATGAAGTAGACTTCACGGATCCAAAGCGACCGCGGACTCCGCGAGCTTCCGCCAAATATTACAAAGATGTAATACGTAGTCATTCGTATGATGTATCTGATAAATATATGAAAGAAGAACTTTAAATTGTTGTTTTATTTATTTGTTGTTTTGGCGCCAATAGCCCAATGGTTAAGGGTACGGATTTCCAATCACGTGATCGAGAGTTCGAATCCCGTCGTTCGTTTGTCGTAAACTATATCCTAACATAAGCATAGAGCTTACTTGATTAATTTCAGACTGAAATCTTTCACTTTTCTAAATTTCATCCAGATTTTTCAACAACGAACAATATGGTATAATGGTAACTAATGTCCATAAATACATCCATCCATTCAAATATTCGTATTAATAATAACGATACTGGATTTTGCACGCGACTTCCTCCGCGTGGAAGTTGAGCTAGGAAAATTAATAATGAGCCTACGTGTTCATCCAGATTGTGTTCTACATTTGTGTCAAATTTCATCAAGATCCGTTAAGTCACTTTAGAAATATTTAGGAAAGGAATACCAGTATAATGAAAAAAATCCTAAATTTTGGGAAAATGTAGTGGATAAAAATTAAAAATAAATATAATAACAAACAATAAACATAAGAGAAGAATTTGTATTCGATTTACTTTTATTTAAATATATTAAATTTGCCAGAAAAAGGCTTACAGTTTGACACGTCTCACTTTTGTGGTCTTTCCTCTAGACTAAGTATTATTCGATAAGTCACGTCATCATCATCATCATCACTCACAGCTCACTATACGTCCCCACCGAGGGGCTCGGAGCCTACCCTAAGTTAAGAGTGATTAGGCCATAGTCAACCACGCTGGCCAAGTGCAGGTTGGTTGACTTCACACATATCTTCGAATTTCTTCTCAGATATGTGCAGGTTGCATCACGATGTTTACCTTCACCGTAAGAACGTCGAATATATGTAAATCGGAAATCGAAAAACACATTGGTACATGGCGGGATTCGAACCCAGGACCTGCAGATTGAGCCACGACGCTATCAAATTGAAATTACCGTCGACAAATTATATATTTATTCAAACTTCGAGTTTCGAACACAGATAATGCTACCGACAAACCATAATGGCAAAAAATCAAACATACATTAAATGCCACGCTTTATATCCTGTCCATTAGTATATAAATGTGAGTTATTAAACACATGTCAATCATAGACAGTTTTTTTTTTATCTAGCAAAGAGTTTATAGTTGACGAGAGACTGGTCTTTTTTGCTGTTGTTCGGGTACTTTTGTTGAATGTTGGCAACCCTAAGTGCGCTTGGAAAAAACAATAAATTCACACAAAATGAATTGTAACAATAACTAATCGGACAATTTTTTATGTTTGAAAATATTCTATAAAATTAAGTGTTTTGTAATTTTTTTTTATATTATTAGGTGGCAAACGAGCATACGGCCAGAAATCGCTGAAATAGCGAATCGAAGATTACAGATTCGTTGCCTACCTTTGATCGAGAGAGGAAGGGATGCACAGAAAGAGAATATTTTCCCTTCCTATGCATCCGGAAAATCCACCTTTACTTGCCATTCTTTCCTTATAAGAGAAAGGGTGAGAAGGGAAAGAGGACTAAAATAAGGCCTCCGGGACGCACACTCTGATGAGTTTTTTAGGCCTTCGACTGATGTCGAAACGCGGAATTGCTTCCACTTCACGCCTGTCTTCTGTGGTATCCCGGGCGAACCTGGCCAATTTGTGCAAAGATATTAAAGTGGGCCTACTACTGTAATTAAGTATCTTTTTTGTTTTTTGTACCTGTTCTTTTGATGTAATAATTACGATGGGAATTAATGTTACAAAAGACTTATTTATTATTAAAAAATATATTCACAGATAAAAAATGTAATTAGTTAACATGATCATAAAGATAAATAGATAAGAATACAGCATGTCCGAAAAGACGTGGAGTACCATAGATTCTTTGTTCGAAAATATGAACTGTCCCTCTCTGTCACTTAGAAAAAAAAAAGAGACAACTAATGCTAACATGTGTTGCGTCAGTAAAAAAATTATACATTAAGTGTAAAAAAAGTTAATTAAGATATTTTATTTAATACTAACGGTTGCCTGTGACTTCATCAGCGCATTAAATTAAAAAAAAATAGCTTAAGTTACTCCCCTACAACTAGGCTACTTTCCAGTAAAAGCCCCGTCAAAATTGGTTGTGTCGTTTCGTCGGTTGTAAAATATCTTATAGTACCCATTTCTTCGATTAATTTTATTATTTACAAGATCGATTCTCGATAGTTAACAGTTATTCGTTGTGCGCGACGATTCGAAACTATGGCAACCATTTAGTACGACATTAATCCTCATACAAAATAATTCGATATTTTATAGGCGTTACTTGTCAAACTAATCTATCTTAAATAGAAACACTATAAACTTACACTCGTAACTTTGAGCACGTGATTCGAAACTTCCTGCAGCTTTCAGTCGTTGGGTTTTTTTAAACTCCTGATTGACCGTTTTTATGTCCAATTGATTTATCGCGGAACGAGTTTTCGACGTAATAACAAACATTTAGTTGAGCATTCAGTAATTGAAGAGATGTGGCTGAAAGCAGTAGCTTTGAGGTATGTTTTTTTTTAATCAAACTTCTTATTGTCGAAAAATATTATTCATTTATAAATACTAGTAACAATTTTACTTTCTGTACAAAATTTTACAATAAGAAAGGAAAAAACGTAACTTTATTTTTTATCTGTTTGCTATTTTTTTTTATAAAAATGTATTTTGCTTATTATATTCAGCCAGTTGCAATTAGAAAAAGAATAATACCTTAAATTCAAACAAATATTTAAGTGTTTTGTTTCTTTTAGTCGTTATTTCAATGAATACATTCCCTTCCATGTTCACTAATTTTTTTTTCAAATATCTAGGTCAGTTTTCTTAACCTTTATACATTTTTCGATGCGTCAAACATTAACGATTGCATTGTAAAATGCTGACAACCAAAAACACAGAACTGCATTAAATAAGATTTAATTAAAAAGAAACATAATAATAAGGAAATTGTGTTTTTCTCAACTCGTATTAAATTTATTTTGCTTTTGAAATAGTATGGATTTTACTTTAGTTGATATGACGTACTTTTGTTGTTAAACTAATCTATTTTTAGGTTTGTCTTACCTATTTTTTTTCAATACTAGCTGTGCCCGCGTATTTGTCCGCGTGAAATTCTATCTTTGGGTAGAATATTAATTATTTAGTCTACTTATATTAACACTTTTAGGACAACAATAAAATATATTAAACTCGCAAAACATTCATAGAAATTTCACATATTATAATACTTTCTCAAACTTTCAACCCCTATTCCTTCTTTTTATTTTGCACCCTTGAGCGTACTATCTTCTATCACATATTCTAATACATTCTTTCATCCCCTATTGTTATTTTGCACCCTTGAGAGTAAAATTTTTACTTTTATTAAATGTCATACTTATTTATATCAAACTAGCTGTCGCCCGTGACTCTGTCCGCGTGGATATATAAAAAAAAATAATTAGTGTAGCCTATGTGTCCTTTCAGACTATATTCTATACGTATGCCAAATTTAATCGAGATCCGTTCAGCCGTTGTAGAAATATCTTCAAACGCCCATCCATCCGTCCACATCACATCCATCTAAAGCTCTTCAAGGCATAAATTCGAAAAAAAAAATAATTTTAAATACTATCTTATGTCCGTCTCCTTGCTCTAAGCCACCTCCTCACCAATTTTCAGGCATATCGGTGAAGCCGTTCTTGAGTTATAAATAGTGTAACTAACACGACTTTCTTTTATATATATAGATTAACAGCCTAAAAAGTTTCAAGCTTCTATCCATAAAAATAACGATACTTCCATATAAATTTCCAACCCCCTTTACAACCTCTACAACCCCTTTTTCGCGTTAAAAAGCCTATGCCCTCTCTCAGTCTCTAGGCTATCTGTGTACCAAATTACATTTAAATCGGTCCAGTAGTTTTAGCGTGAAAGGACAGACAGACAAACAAATGTTACTTTCGCATTTATAATATTAGTAAGGGTTTCTTCAGGATACGTGATTAGTGCACAAATAAAAATAAAAGTGTGAGGTATCCTTCGCGTATTTAGAATGACTGTCGCCCGCGCAGAACTCCGTCCACGCAGAATTACAAAAATTAATCGGTACATATTTTTTCCTTGTTAACAGTATTTATCTTTGGATTTCGTTATTTGACAAGATCAGCATATCGGAAGCCATCGCATAATCTATACTATTAAAGCGTAAACACACATTTTTTTTGTCACTCTGAATCTTCGCAATCACGACGTATTTTTCAATAAATATTTTTGTAATAAAAAGCACATTACTTACGACACGCTATAGGTCATATATTTTCACGCCATGAAACTTAAGGGATGAGTAAAATGAAAAAAAAAATGCGATAAAACGACAAAAATTTAAAGTCAACAGCAGCAAAAATATGGTTGCCATGGTAACGGCAATTCTTAGCAAAGGCGATGGCCCTTGTCATTTAAGCATTTTAATTTTTATATGTATTTGCAATTGAAAGCTAAATTGCAATAAAACAACTGAGAAAGCTGAGATTAAGCTAGATGTATGGTTTCTGAGTCCGAAATCTCTGTATGAAACATATCGTCGTCCCTGTCATTAACTTTGACAAAACAGAGATAACAATATGTTTTAAACAGAGATTTCAGTCTTAGCCACCCACAATTTTTTTTTACTAATTAAAGGATTAATATTTAATCGTTGTTATAGTGTGCTTGTATGCGCGGTGGCAGCATACAACTCTAGAAGGTTTCCACCTGGTTTTAAATTCGGAGCCGCGACTTCTTCATATCAAATCGAAGGCGCTTGGAATGTAAGCGGTAAGTTGTTATCGTAGCTCTTTGACTATTATTAACAATAGAATTAAAGTGCTATGGCTCTTGTACTATTTTTGACTTAATTTATAGTCTCTATTTAAAGCACTTGACAACGAATGTTTGCGACTATTGCCTTTGTCTCTGCATCGTTAATTATGTCAAAATTAGTATGAGATTTTTGGTATTCTTTACACCCTATTCTCTTTCTGTGGATTAAAAGCAATAAACACATGTATTTGCGTATGTCTATGGGCAACGGTCGCTTCGCTATTTCAGCAATGTTAGGTTAGGTCCGCTTGTTTGTCGTCTATATTAAAAAAAGTTTTCAAACAAAATTTCAAGATAAATGTATAATACATATGTCAATCTGAAATAGAAAAACACATTGGTACATGGTGCGATTCGAACCCAGGACCTGCAGATTGCAAGTCAAGTGCTTGACCCCTGAGCCACTGAAACCTCTGAATGACGCTTTATCCAACCTGATGCAACCTGCACATATCTGAGAATAAATTCAAAGATATGTGTGAAGTCAACCAACCCGCACTTGGCCAGCGCAGTTGACTATGGCCTAGCCATCTCTAACTTAGAGTAGTCTCCGAGCCCCTCGGTGGGAACATATAGCGAGCTGGTGATGAAAGATAGTACGCGCTAGGAAATGCCTATTCTATCTACTCTTGAAGGCTCCTTTGTTCCAATGGTTAACGTGTGTAACAGACTTTACATAATTGTTTGTAATTCAATAGTTTGTTTGTCACGAAAGAAAACATCAAGATTTACGTGCAAACAAACGAGTTATTTATTATTCTGTACATAATAAATAACGGTTGTAAAAGTTAATAACTATTTGCAAACGAAACGCGTGCCTTTTAAAACCTACTATAAATCAAGAACATCGTTAAGTGACTAGCATCGCAGTATACCAATGAAGTGAAAAAAGTTTTCAGTGCCAAAGCACTACATAAATATGTCATCCTTGTTAATTATATTGAGGAAACTGAGATAGCATGATACGTGTTTTGGCAAAACAGATACAGTCAGCTACATAAATATGTACACATTTTAAAGATTCATAAACTTGTGTACGCTTTAAAATTTTAAATATGTATACGAATCGGTTCGTATACTTCCATCTATGAATACATGTTCTTGATACTTGCATAAGTATTATTGAAACCAACGACCTATGCATGTTACTTCTTATTATCTTACTAACCGTCTCGACTCTCCGTAAGGAAGGTATATTGATGCTTAGTTTACGCTTGTACAGTCAGTTGCATAAATTTATATATTGCCAGCGTCTCCACCTCGCGGAATTAAAAACAAACCATAATTAGTAGCCTACGTTGTCTTCCAGACTATGTTCTAAATTTATGCCAAATTTTAACGAGATTTATGCATCCGTTCAGAAGATTCTTTCAAACAAACCATTCTCTATCCCCATCCATCTAAACATTCGCACTTATATTAGTATGATAGTAAGATTAGTAAGATGTAATTTATCAATATAAACTTCGATCCTCTTTACTATCTTCTTTACTATCTATTTCTTCTTATTCTATCTTCTTTACTTTATCTTACGAAATGTGTCTAAGAAGAAGTCATCCAATTGTATATTTATTTTCAGATAAAAGCGAAAGCATTTGGGATAGATTGACCCATTCAAAGCCAAGTATCATAACAAATGGAGCAACTGGAGATGTCGCCTGCAACTCTTACTACAATTGGGAAGATGATATAAATATCGCTGCAGAACTTGGCTTACATTTCTATAGGTCAGTGGAAATGAATTTTAAAAATCTACTAAACCTTTAGTCCGTTTAAAAAATTATAAAAAAAGGGGTACAAAAGCAAACATTAAGATAAAAAAAAAATCAAAACCACAGCACCAGCTACACGGTAATACATGTAAATACGGATGAATTAATAACCTCCTTCTTTTTGAATTCGCATAAAAACAAAGAAAACGGACTAACTTTTTTTTTTAAATATTAGTAGATTTTTTTGGAAATTTACTAATATTTCTTTTACCATTCCAACTAAGCTCTAGGATTGTGCTAGGATATGGTCGAATGGCGGGATTCGAACCCCCGACCTCGTGATCGGAAATCCGTATCCTTAACCATTAGGCTATTCACGCTTTTGCTAACTCATTCTCTATAAAACGAATCCGTGTCATATTCAGAGGAAATATACGAATTAATTACAATTTTGTCAAGGTGAAGGTTCGACCGACCCGATCTTGACCGCATTATGCGTAATAATTGCAACATCAGAAAATTTAATATCACTCTGTGACAAAATCCTCGTCAATATGCTGTTTAAGCTACTAGGAAAGGGCATAAAAATATTTAAAAAATATCCGCAAATCATCACTGAAGCAATTCGCTTATAAATTAACGGATAAATACGGTCTCCGTCCGTGGGAATATACAACATATATTAGTTATTACCGGTCGCCCGCCATTCCGTCCGCGCGAATTTAAAAATAACTTAATAGCCTATGTGTTCTTCCCCCTTCCCTCAGTGAGGCTCGGAGTAGTATAGTAAGCTGTGATGAAAAGATTAATATGTCATAACTTCCGCAGATTTTCTTTGTCATGGCCCCGGCTGTTGCCAACCAGTTTTATTGATAAGATCAGTGCAGAAGCAATAAATTACTATAATAAGTTGATTGACGGCTTAATCAAAAGGGGCATTGAACCCGTGGTGACGTTATACCACTGGGATTTGCCACAGAGAATACAAGATTTAGGTAATAATTTATCGATTTTAAATAAATGTATTATGTGAAAACATTATATTTTATTTGGTATAATTATGTTTATTTTTATCATTAAGTAAGATTGAATTTAATTTATAATACTTTTTTTAATTAAATAGCAATTTATATATTACTAATATTTGCTCAGACAAAACTGACAGGCGTTATGAATTTTCTTTTACTTTCAGGTGGATGGGCAAATCCGTACATTGCAGATTGGTTTGCGGATTACGCTAGAGTTGCTTACAGGTTATTCGGGGATCGTGTAAAGATCTGGATAACGGTGAACGAACCCGTGGTAGCGTGTGATATAGCTTATAACACTGGATTCTTTGCTCCTGGCATAAAAAGTCCTGAATTCGGCAATTATCTTTGCGGTAAAAATATGTTGTTGGCACACGCTAAAGCATGGAGGATTTATGATGAAGAGTTTAGATCTAAATATCACGGTAAGGTGTATTAATATTTGACAGTTTAGTTTCATCTTATTTTATTTTTAAAAAGTGAATTATTAAGCTGATATAAAAACGGCTAAACACTCGATGGTACTGGTATTATTTCGCGGACGCGGCCCGTCGCTCACATCCTGTTTCTTCATCTTCAAGCTTCATCCTAATGAAAGGCCCCCGATGGGCCCGAAACTAGTCGGTGCCGCCACCGGACGAATATACGTGAGTGTTTAGCCGTTTTTATATCAGTTTAGTATAATGTCTCACGAAAGTTTGAATAATTTAATAAGTGAATTATTGTTTCAGGAAAAGTTGGTTTAACAAATCAAATCTTTTGGCACATACCAGAGAGTGATGAAGATGAAGAATTAACAGAAATGGTTAGACAGTATATGGTAAGTCTTTGTTTATTACTAGCTGTTGCCCGCGACTACGTCCGCGAGGAAGTAAAACAAAATTTATTAAATAGCTTACGTATTCTGCAGACCATGTTCTACATCTGTGCCAATTTTCAGCAAGATCCGTGCAGCTGTTCTGGAGATACATTCAAACAAACATCCATTTAAACATTCGCATTTATAATATTAGTAAGATTAAACATTTTAGTTTAGTTTACGCCTGTGCAGGGCTATTTCGCGTGGAGAAAAGAATACTACGACCTGCTGAAATGCAAAATTTATGCTCAGTGTAAAATTACAAGACACCATAAAGTTTCAATGCCACTATAAATCTTTACCTCATATCTGACATTTGTACTTGATAAAATATTGTTATCCCTTTCATTCTTATTGACAAAATGGAGACGACAATATTTATACGATAACACGGAAGTTTAACGAAAACCATAGATACATCAACATATTGTTAGGAAGAAAATCCGACACTGTTCCGGTGTACTGGTGCAACACTAGCCTTACTAAAATGTCGACGTTTATGTCCCCTCACTATTCATTCTGACACTGAACTTTGTAACGAAAGCACGTCATTCGCGCCAAAGGATTCTAATTAATAATGATTAAAAATAGACACTTTTAATATCTCGAATTTATTAGTATTATTATCTGTCAGTTAACTATTGCCTTTTGTTTTTAGACTGGAATGTATTCCCATCCTATATTTAGTAAAGATGGCGGCTGGCCTCCGGAAATAGAGAGGATAATAGCAGAGAATAGCAAGAAGCAAGGATTCTCACGTTCAAGATTGCCGCCCTTCACCAAGGAAGAAATAGATCTCATCAAAGGTATAATGGAATATGTTACAACTCAAAATTTCCTATTTTAGACCTTTTCAAATTGCTACTTTTGATGAACATAACTGCTACATAACTGTTTCAACTTTTGTACAAGTTAAATGGGATATTTACCAACTTGTTTTTTTTTAAATATTATAAGGTCGCAAACGAACACGCGGCGAAGCGAACGCTACCCATTGACATCCCTAATTACAGATGCGTTGGCTACCTTTAATCAACGTAAGAGAGGACGCACAGAAAGACAATATTTCCTTTTCCTAAGTGTCTCCTCCGTCAAATCCACTTCCCTTTCCCATCATTTTCTTATAAGAAAAGGATGGGAGTAAAAGAGGACTACATACAACAGATGTTGTTATGTAATTTATTATATTTTTAACTTGTTTCTCTGTGTATTTAATTTTACTTATAACATAGGTACTTGTGATTATTACGGTATGAACTACTATACGTCAAGAACTGTGCGAAAGGCGAGAGATGGCGAGAGTATCGGCAGTTGGCCGCTGCAAGATGGCGCTGTTGATCTCGGCGCTGTCATGAGTGTCAAACCTGATTGGAAGAAGGCGGCCTCTATGTGGTTATGGGTATTTAATCGCAAAATATACATAAAAGAGAATCTAACACGAATTTTTAAAAAAAACTTAATTAGTAGCCTATGTGTTCTTTTATATTATGTTCTACATCTGTGCCAAATTTCATCAAGATACGTTCAGCCGTTCTGGAGATACCTTGAAACAAACATCCATCCATCCATCCATCTAAACATTTGCGTTTCTAATATTAGTAAGTTATATGTTTTAGACCGGCAGTGTCGAATTTTCTTCCTAACATTAGTAAGAAAGTAAGAATTAATTTAGACTTGCGTTATTAGGGTTTTGACACATTTACTGTTGCCGACTCTCCCGACTTAGTTGTGCGAAAAAATTGTTTATTTTTAAATTAATAAAAGATTTTTTTACAGTCGTACGCTCCAGGACTACGTCATAAGTTGGTCTGGTTGAAGAAGACATACGGCGACGTCGAGATCTTGATACTTGAGAACGGAGTATCTTCCTTTAGCGGCCAATTAGACGACGACTTTAGAGTCAAATATTACAAAGATCATTTGGAACAGGTCAGTATACTCTTTATTTTTTTTTATCTACACCTTGTATACTCTTTATTTTTTTATCTACACCTTGTATACTCTTTATTTTCTAGCAGACATGTTAAATAGCTTAACAATAATTTAAAAAGTTAGAAAATAAATAAATAATGTCCATATTCACATATGGATAGTCCGGTTTCATTGACAGTGCGAAACGTGCCACGACCACGAATAATTTGACTAATATTATAAATGTGAAAGAACGGCTGTATGGATCTTGTTGAAATTTGGCATAGATGTAAAACATAGTCTGGAAGAACACATAGTATATATGTATATACTCAATAATTTTTATTTTTAATAATTGGCGGATAAAGACGCGTATAAAAGCACGCGACAAAGACTCCGTCCGCGCGATATTAAATAAAGTAGCTTATGTATTCTTCCAGACTATGTTCTATATCTATTCCGAATTTCATACTTTCAAACAAACATCCAAACATTCGCATTTATAACATTAGTAAGATCAGTACCACTCACTAGTCGGTGCCAACATAACATAAATGATTTTTTTTTTCAGCTATGGTTGGCAATAACTGAGGACAAAGTTAATGTGACTGCTTATACCGCTTGGACAATGATAGACAACTTCGAATGGGGCGACGGATACAAGTATGGATATTGATTTTATAACCATCATCAGCAAAAGGGCTCGGAGTCAACCCTAAGTTCGGTGTGACTAGTCAACACTGACCCAGTGCGGGTTGACTTCACTGCAGCAGCACGATGTTTTCCTACACCGTAAGAACGTCGGATAAATGTACATATATAAATCTGAAATCAGAAATCGAAAAACACATTGGTACATGGCGGGATTCGAACCCAGGACCTGCAGATTGCAAGTCAAGTGTTTGACCTGAGCCACCGACGCTCCAATTGAGTTTATAATACTGCAGATTGAATAAATTCATTTGACATTAATCGTGGGTTTTTAACAACACAGAGGTATTTTTTTTAATATGATAAGGTGGCCATTGAGCGAGCGGCCACTATGTTTTAAACTGGGACTTTGGTGTCAGAAGACCACGATAAGTGACTTTTTAAAGTGCTTAATGTTTACAATGATGTCAAATGACCACAAAAATCTGTATTCATAATTTGTTAATTCGCGAAAAGTTATGAAAATTCAAAAAAACAACAAAAATATATTAAAAACAAAATTAAAATCTTGTAAGGCGTTTTACTGTTATTTATTTTACTTCAAATAATTACGTTTCCAAATTAAAATCATCTTTGGTAAACGAAAATTATAAATTTAGTTATACTAATCTTGACTGTAGTGAATGCATAAACGTAGTGTTGTTTGTCTCGAGTGTACATGCCGGAGAGAGGGGACGTCAGTCGATGTCAGACCTTTGGACCGGCAACACGTGTCGGTACGTGAACGAGCCAAATATAACGCAACAAATGCTTTGACTATGTATCAAAATAATCTTTATTGTTCGAAAATCGAATTCATTTAATGTATTTTTTTATTTCAGTGTCAAATTCGGCTTGTACAATGTTGACGTGACAGATCCAAAACGCACTCGAACACCTCGTGCCTCAGCGAAATACTATGCTAAAGTGATCACAAGTCATTCCTTGGATATTGATAAATACAATGCGAAGGCTGAACTGTATTCCACTGTTTTGTTTTATCTGCCGTTGCCTATAATCCTTGTAGCGATCGCCGCCATGATGTTTTCATATCCAAAATGGCGGACATCAAAATCATTTGTAGCGAGACATCGGAAATTATTAAATGTACCGGATATGTTTTAGTTGAGATTTTTGTTTTTAGTACCTTACTTATTTATTTAATTAATTATTATTGGTCTTATAATAAGTATACAAAACATAATATTTCACTTACTTTATGTTAATTTTCGCATTTTCATAGACTAGTCGCGCGTGATAACGTCCGCGCGGAATTAAAAAAAAACACAATTGATAGATCTTCAGTTAAAATAAAAATTATTCTAGGACAGTATAGGAAATCTTAAATATTATAAGACAGTTTTCGCCTTCAACTTCGTAAGCATAGAATCTAAAAATATCCTATAACATGCCCGCGTACGTTAGCTACCTTCCTGTCCTAGTCCCGTTAAAATCGGTCCACCCGTACCGGAGATTATCCGGTACAAAAGCAGCCTTGTTAACAGACATACAGGCAAGCAATAATTTAAAAAATTGATATTTCTTTATCATCTACACAAATACACACATCATCATCAGCTCATCATACGACTCCAACGTTTTTTCTATCGTAAGGTGACAAACGAGCGAGCGGCCACTTGAAATTGCTGAAGTAGCGAAGCGACCGTTGCCCATAGACATACGCAATTGCCTCTTCGTTGCCTACCTCTAATCGACGGAGTATAGGATGCACAGAAAGAAAACATTTTCCCATCCCATCCCTCAACCGGAAAATCCACTTCCACTTCCCATCCTTTCTTTATACGAAATAAGGGGGGAAGGTAAAGAGGACTAAAATTAGGACTCCGGGCATTTTTAACTATGTCTTGATGAATTTAGTCTAATAGTAACTATAAGTTAGTAAAAAATCGTCTAAAATCTAACCTAAATCTAACTTCTAATCAGTTACATTGACTAATGTGTAACGTTCGTCGTACAATAATTTAGCCGCCACAGGGCAGTAAAGTAATATCAGCATAACAATGACTAGAATACCAGGTAAAATTGTGTAAAACAAAATAAGCAAATACAATTCATCTGTGGTGTATTTTGTAACGTAGCTACGGCTTCGTATGACGTCAGCGTAATACTTCGCGGAGGCACGCGGTTTGCGGGTGCGATTACTACTGCTGAAATCCACTTGATATAAACCAAATTGGGCTCTGGAAGAGAAACGAAGGGTAAGTTAACAATAAATAGACACTAAAATACTACCGAAAGAAGGAAGGAATAAAAAAAAATTGAATTTGTAGTCTATGTGTTCTTCCAAGCTAAGTTGGACGTCTATGCCAAATTACAACGAAATCCATTCAATACTGGTGATACCTTCTAACAAATATCTATCCAGAGATTCGTATTTATAATATTACTAGCTATTCGGCTCCCTCTGCGCGGATTAAAAAAAACATAAATAGTAGCCTTTGTCCATTCAGACTATGTTCATGGTGTATACCAAATTTCATCGAGATCCTTCCATCCATCTAGCTATTCATCTAAACATTCGCATTTATATTAGTAAGATAATAAGAAGTAAAATATTTGAAACCTTTGACCGCCAAGATATTTGAAAAGAACTATACTTTTGTTAAGCAAATCTATGATCTTTAGAAATAACTTACGTGTAACCATCAAGCCATTCAAAGTTATCAATCATCGTCCAAGCTGTGTAAGCTGTTACGTTGACGCCATCTTTGTTTATTGCCAGCCAAACCTATTAAAAAAAAACATTTTATAATGTTTCATCGTAAAATTTGAAAAGTATTGTAGATAGACCTTTTTCAATTTTGAAATTCACATCTAACGCCATTCAACCGTGTTTGGTAAACCGTTTATTTTAAACTGATTAACCGTTTTCAGATCAAAGTCTTAGTATAAAACATATCGTCATCCCTGTCATAATCTTTTAGAAGACAGAGATAACGGTTTTAATCGGGAATTTAGTCTCGGAAAATCACGGTAAACGCGCTAAACGAGCAACTTTGCGAGAAACCTAATGTAACAAATTGATTAGCTTCGTTTTAAGCTTAAGCTTAAACGCGAGCGTAACCGGTCAGTGACCCCACTCAGCTATGCGATTGCGATTGCAATTTAAATTTGCCAATCAGAGGTCAACAAATCGACGTGACGTCGACCACTCGTCATGCACACGTGTTTATGTGTGTGTGTGTGTGTGTGTGTTGTAGTATACGTGTTATGTATGTGTAGTGTTTGGAAAGTATGTAGGAGGTCACCTACATGTCCATATTTGATTTTGATGAACGTTTGTTAAACAAACTTGTCAAATATGTATGATCGGTCATTAGATTTATGAATTACTAGCTGTCGCCCGCAACTCTGTGGCGCGGAATTGAAAAAACTTAACATTTAGGGGGATGAAAAATAGATGTTGGCCGATTCTCAGACCTACTCAATATGCTCACAAGATTTCATGAGAATCGGTCAAGCCGTTTCGGAGGAGTATGGGAACGAAAATTGTAACAAGAGAATTTTATATACAAGACTAGCTGCCGCCCGCGACTCCATCAGCGGGGAATTAAAAAAACTGTATTAGTAGCCAATGTGTTATTCCAAACTATGTTATCTAATCTATATCTACTCGTATATTTAATCTATATCTGTGGCGAATTTCATCAAGATATGTTGAGCCGTAAGATACCTTCAAACAAGCATCCATATAAACATTCGCATTTGTAATATTAGTAAGATGTATGAACGATGAATTACCTGTTCCAAATGTTTCTTATAGTAATCTATTCTCTCGTAATCATTTAAATTGCTACCTCTTGTTGGTACACCGTTTTCAGTGATCAACACTTCGATATCACCATATGAGTCTTTTATAGATTTCAATATATTTCTAATGCCTTCAGGATAAATCTGCAATAATATAACATTTTTCAATTCCTACTATCAGCTTTATTATCTACAATATTTGTTTACTTAGAGTATGTACTATCAGGACTAGATTTAGCATTGCGGCGCCCTAGGCGACATTTTTGCGGCGCCATCTTTTTTTGGAGTCGGGGAAATCTTCCTAAGCCTGAGGCGCCCGAACTGTCACCCTGCCTGGTAATAACGCCGATACTAAGTACTGCAGAAGCCAATGTTTACGAATTCTGTGTTTAAATTATTAAGGTATAAAAAAATATCCGATTTATACCAAATAGATGTTGCCTAAAATCACAAATTATATACCAAAAATTGTACTTCTAACAATGCTCAACTATCAAGAATGATTCTATAAAATTTTAAATTATTCCTTAAAAACATATAAAAACAATTTACAAACCCAAAACCAAGAACACGCGGCCCTTTTCCATGTTGTATCGTATTCCAAAATGGCGCCGATTTCAACACAGCTCTCTCCGAGCGGCCAGTCCTGGAATTTGTCATCCGGTTTCGCTTTCCGCACTCGACGGGACGTGTAATAGTTTAAACCAAAGAAGTCGTATGTGCCTGAAAATTAAACCTTCTTACATGAAAGCCTTAAAATAAAAAAAAAGATTTATTCTTTTTTTTTAAGATTTCGTATCCTTAGACAGCCATTTCAAAGGTGAATCAATGCAGTGAAGTAGAGTTAGAGTTCGTTTAAAGTTTTTTTTATCAAAATTATACACAATTCAAATTTGTAAGATAAATCCATGAATAAAAGATATATTGGTAACACGTCTTTTCCGGAGACCCTGTATAAGAGATAAACGTTATAATATTACCTTTAATAAGGATAGTTTCCTGTTTACTAAGCGCCGGTAGTCTAGACCTAGAATATCCTTGTTTTTTACTATTCTCAGCTACTATCTTCTCTATTTTTGGAGGCCATCCACCCTCTTTCGAGAAGACAGCGTGGATACCCATTCGCTTAAAAAACATAACAAAATGCTTGTATACCTTAATTAAGTAGGTCTTTATCATCAGCTCACTATACGTCCCCACGAGGGGCTCGGAGCCTGCCATAAGTTAAGGGTGATTAGGCCATAGTCAACCACGCTGGCCAAGTGCGGGTTGGTAGACGTCACACATAACTTTTGAATTTCTTCTGAGATATGTGCAGGTTGCATCACGATGTTTTCCTTTACCGTTAGAACGTCTGATAAATGTACATATTTAAATCGGAAATTAAAAAGCTGTGTTTGACTATAGTCAACCTTGACTTAGAGTAGGCTCCGAGCCCCTGGGTGGGGACGTATAGTGAGCTGATGATGATGATGGCAAGGTATATATATGGTTTATATAAGCTGGACGGATCAATGATAGTAAATTAATAAAAGAAAATGGTGCGAAAGTGAGCGAAAGTGTTAGTCAGGGCGGTCCCAGATTTATACCTTTCAGAGGTATGAAATTAAGAGCACCTAACACGGAGTGCATGCATGTATGAATATAGAAGAAGCGAGAGAGGTTTCAGGACCGCGGTTAAAGGAGGTCCGTGGTCTCTGCCTACCTCTTTGGATTAGCTTGAGTTATGTTGTTGTTTATAAAACAATTTGTTCTTTTTTTAAACTGATTATATTTTCATATTTTCAACGAAATACTACTATATAAAATATCATACTATACCATGTACAAATTAACTAGATCGGTGATATCTTTGTGTTCTTCTGACGCTGGTTCGAACCAATAAAGATGATTTGTTATGCCAACTTTACCTGTGTTGACAAATTGTTAATAAATAAATTTGTTTTTAATCACACAAGCTAATACTCATACAATTTATTCGGTGAAGGCACCGACTAGTTACAGTCCATTAGGAGGCATTCTTCAGGGTAAGTAGGACTGGTATTGTGGCCCGTATCTGAGGTCTAGGTTCTAAACTAATTGATGACGACACCGGATAAAGTTTAACACTTTTAACCCTTAAAATCTAGGACCATTAATTTGTCAACTCATGACGATAAATCCCTAAATCACATTTATTGAAGATAGAAATTATAATTAACAACTGTCGTCCGCGATTCCGACCGCGAGTAATTAAAAAAAACTTAATTAGTAGCCTATGTGTTCTTCCAGGCTATGTTCTACATATATACGACATTTCAGCGAGATTCCTAGATCTGTTCTGGAGATACCTTCTAGCAAACATCCATCAATCCAAACATTCGCATTTATTATATTAGTAAGCAGTAAGATAACGCTAAAAAAAACAAACCATGATACTTCATCCTGTATTCATCATCATAAAGCCTCCATGCTTTAGCGTGTGCCAGCAATATATTTTTATGGCAAATGTAGTTACCAAAATCTGGGTCTTTGACACCGGGCGCGAAAGCACCCCTATTGTAACCTACGTCACAGATTATTATAGGTTCATTGATCGTAACCCAGGTCTTTACTCGATCTCCAAATAAAGAAAACGCAACTTTCGCATAATCCATAAACCAATCGGCGATCAAAGGATTTGTCCAACCTCCTGTAATGGTACAAATACACATAAAAAAAAATACGAACGATGCAGATAAAAACAAATGACGAACTGTTAGACGGCCGGCACTTTGGGTCTTTTAAAAAAAACCCGTAAGACTTTTCACCAACTTTAATTAACTCTACAATATATTTTCAACTATCTGGTCTCCGAGTCCGGATTGTGTGTATAAATCGCGAGCTTTGGATTCCGACTTAATTAAAAATGTAATTGTATATATAAGGTAAACTAATTTTGCTGACAGTAATGGAAAAACTTCGTCAGTGTTCATTTGCTGACTGTACAGCCTTTACATAATAGGTGGGGTTATAACAGAACGATGCAGATAAAATCAATTGATAGTCAACCAATTAACTTATTTAATAAAAAGCAAAGATATAAATTCAAGCATCAAAAAAAAAATAGAGTTTGAAATTGAGTGAATAATGTTAATGTTTTAAAAGAACTAGAAGACAAACTACTCATCAAGACGTTTCAAACGAGAACAACTCGATGAGGTTCTGTCGTTTCATTGCGAAGTTCCTATCACCTTCTAGCTCCATCGTCAGATCATCATCATAATTACATTATCTCGCGATTTACATATATTTAAAATTTCCTCCTTTCTAAATTACAAAGTCTTCCATAAATTAGGGGGCTCTGAGCTACTCAATGGGGACGTGAAGTGAGAAGATCATGATGCTAAATTTCAACTCAATCGGTAACCGGGAAGTTGAACTTTATATTGCAAGATTTGATGACTAACATCAGAATTGGTAAGACTAAATAAAAGCTTATAAAAGAAAAAGGTTCAACGAAGGCAATTAACGTGGAGTACAACTCAAAAAAGAGTACCTAATTAGTGTATTTTTAACCAAATAAGCGTACGTCATAAACGTACCAATTGCGTGCGACAAAACGTGATTTACCTAAATTTTGCAATCTCTGCGGCAAGTCCCAATGGTAGAGAGTGACGACAGGCTGTATGCCTTTCTCTAACAGTCCGTTGATAAGATTGTTATAATATGCTTTGCCATCTTCACTTATTCTTTCACTCGTACCCGTTGGCAGAAGTCTTGGCCATGATATTGAGAATCTAAAAACAAAAAAATCAAAGAAAAAAGTCAACTTATAAAAGAAAGTCAACTTACTAATATTATAAATGCGAATGATGTGATAGATGGATGTGACGTGGATGTACGGGTGGGCTACACTAATTAAGTTATATATATTCACGCGGACGGAGTCGCGGGCGACAGCTAGTGTATTATAAAGCACTAGTGTACTATAAAGTATTTATTTAGACGACGAAAAACCTCAACTCAATACATTTTAGTTGCCTTAAAACAGTGGATTGATAGCGAATGTATTAAGTACGAAGATTTCTAAGGCCCATAATAACTTGACTTCCTTTTTAAATTCAGTCTACAGTATCAATCAAACTTTACAGCAGCTCGCAATTATGCTCAAGTCGCTTCGCAGAACACATGTAACACTGGCACTAAACTGCGCAGTAAGGCGTGAGCAGCTTACAACAAAATTGCATAAAGTTTCGCTATCGCCCGCAACTCCGTCGGCGCGGAATTGAAAAAAAACTTAATTAGTAGCCTGTGCTCTTCCAGACTATGTTCTATACGTATGCCAAATTTCATAGAGATCCGTTCAGCCGTTCTAGAGATACCTTCAAATATCCCTCCATATATCGATCCATTTAAACATTCGCATCTATAATATTAGCAAGATTACATACCTGTAGAAATGTACACCAAGATCTGCTGCAATTCTGACATCCTCTCTCCAATATCGATATGAATCGCACGCGATGTCAGCGTTGGAGTGATCGACGTTTAAATCGGGATTACTATGGAGATGTTTATCCCATATACTCAAACCTTTGTCTGTAAACGAAGAAATTATGAATAACCCGACATCATTGACCTTTATAAATGTATTGGCTATATAACGTAGTACTTTGTGCCTATTTGATTACCGCCATGTCGCGTAACTACAACAGGCGTGTTTATATCGGAACAAAGCAAAAGCTGCCATTTCCAAGCAATCGCCTATCTATTTATAGAGATCAGTGCCCGACAGATATAGGAGGTGATGTTTTTCTCATATACGTAATAATTACCGTGAGATTCCATTGACGAAATATACGTGTACGAGAACTGTAAACATTTTTAACTTTGTTGCAAAGATATCAAATATTACTTAAAATAGTTTTACGCATTAAAAACCTATTGTTATATAAAGTTATGTTCCTGGTTAGCACCAGGTCGGGGTTAGGGTGTCTTTTGACGAAAAGTTCTGCGTATTACAGTCTCACGTAACTATTAATATCCCTAAAGTCATAATAAAATATAAAGGGCGCCGTAGTGATCTCGCCCAAAGGTCTAATAGAGCTAAGACCCTTACGGTTTATAGATTGTCAAGGTTTTTATAGTAACTATTATTGCTCAAAATATGAAATTAAAGACGTAGTCACAGGAGAACTAGCGTTGTACCCTTACCGCTAACATTCCAAGCTCCCTCTACTTGATATGCTGAAGTTGCGGCTCCAAACTTAAACTCCGGCGGAAACTTGATAGCATGCACATTGCATATCAAAACACTGAGAAATGGATTGTTAAAACATATTATAAATTATTCTACAAACTAGCACTTTGAGTTTGAGTAAACTTAACAAGAATTGAACTGCTAGATATGAAGCGTCAATAGTCAAATGATTAAGGGTACGTATTTAAGTAAATGATTAAGGGGACTATCCAACATAAGAAGAATTTTTCAAATCGGACCAGTAGTTCCTGAGATTATAGCGTTTAAACAAACAAACAAAAACAAACTCTTCCGCTTTATAATAATAGTACAGATTAACAAATATCTGCTACTAATAAAAAAAATATATTATAAACGACACTCATATTAAGAAAAATCCATCGCTTACCAGAAAACGCCCTGCCACAGTGGTGTCATTATGTATATTGACCAGATTTCCTTCTCTAGACACAACATAAAATATAATCTATGCATCTAAACATATCAATAAAATTGGACTGTCTGTATGTCATATCGAAAAAAAAATATTTTGTACACGTAATGTCTTTGCGTAGCTAATAACGAAAAACCATTTTTAATTTTCGTCTGTGTACGTGTGATTGTCAGGGCCGCGTTTGTTCTGGAATGATTTTGACAAGACTTTGACGAGACTCTGACGAGACTCTGACGAGACTCTGACGAGACTCTGACGAGACTTTGACGAGACTTTAACGAGACTTTGACGAGACTCTGACGAGACTCTGACAAGACATTGACGAGGCGTTAGCTAATGCATGCAGGCATATTATAGGCTACTTTTTTAATTCTACGCTAACGAAATCGCGGGCTTAGGCTAGTAAATAAAATAAAACTTAGGTTTAATAAATAAAACATAAATTACTTGTAGGTTTTAATTCATTAAACATTGTTTTAATTAAGGAAGGCTGTAATTATTTCTTCTTATTAAGGATTACTAAGGATTACCTTACTTTAATTAATATTAATTTATGTTTATAATGTTTTATATTCATATAAAGTAACTCTGTCTGTCTGTCTCATTTCAGAAAGTAAACAGATTTAAATGAAATTTGGCACACAGCCTAGAGCCTGAGAAAGAACACAAAAGGACTTTTTATGGCGAAAAAAGGGTTGTAAGTGATTGAATGGCGGGATGAAAAGTTGTATCTAAGTATCGTCATTATTAGAGCTAGAATCTAGAAAATTTATTTTTAGGCCATGTTTAACTTTATACCCTTCAGCGGGGTACACGCAGCAGTTTGGAGACGTTCTAACAAACCAAATATACACATTTATAATGTTAGTTACATCAGAATTGGATGATGTCGCGAGCATAGTACTAATAGGTTTCAAAATGTTTATGATTACTGTGGACGAAGGTTTTGACGAGCCATTGTCAAAGATGACTCATAGACGTACAGACTTATCTGACCTGGTTGCGTAAGTCAACTTAAATTACAATACTATTATACGATCTCAACGTCAAAGACGTTTTGTAAATATATTAAGTAATAGCGGTCACCAGTGACTTACAGTGCGAAATTTAAAAAAGTAGCCTGTATGGCGGCGTGCGTCAAATTCTCGTCAAAATCCCGTCAAAATCGGTCCAGTAGTACCGGAGATTATCCAGAACAAACGCCGCTTAGCGGTCAGATATACACACGCAAATACAACGCTTGTACGAAATAAGATTTTTTCTCGAATATTACATACGGACACTCCAATTTTATTATCTTTTTTTTTGAAAAAAATATTAGCTGATTTTTTTGTTTGAAAATTAACTAATATTTCTTTTACCATTCCAAATAAGCTGTAAGCTTGTGCTAGGATATGGTTTACGACAATAGTCGAATGGCGGGATTCGAACCCCCGACCTCGTGATCGGAAATCCGTAACCTTAACCATTAGGCTATTGACGCTTAAATCTATTTTTATATATCAAATCCTCGAGTCATAATGTTAGTCACCATGCTCCTCCTTGCCCAATATTTATGAAATTTCTGAGAATCAGTTTCTTTTTATTTTTTAATCCATTGAGGACGTAGTCGCGGGCAACAGCTAGTAGATGATGTCAATGTAACATCGTTACAATGTTGCTTCGGCGAACTATTTTTTTCTTTTTAAACGATAAGGATGTTATGCGATCAAACTAAGTACATCAATTAAATTAGCTCCAAGTGAAATTCCTTATATGAAAGTAAGGTTTGCAAAAAAAAAAACTAGAAAAAAGTTCAATTATTAAAAAAAAATAAAAAACATAGTTTTTTTATATTTAATTGTAAGGTATTATTATTACTGGCAACCTTTTGGCCATAAGCATTTGAAAAAGACGCCACCGCGCCGCGAAACTGACCATAACTATTCTTAAAATGTGGAGAGTGGAGTTAAAAAGTTTGTTTTGGTATATTTTTTGCTAACCCTTCCTTAACGATTCGAAACAGCTGCTATGACGTCACAAAATGGCCGAAAATCAATGGAGAAACATGGATTCATAACTGAATACGATTCAGATTAGTTCGAAGTTGGTTTCGATCGATATTTTTAAGCCATTCACCTCACTATTAAATTGTAATAGATGACAAATGTGGCCTAAATTGGCACACCTATAAATACGTTAGTAAAATTAACCTTCAAAATCAATTATATATATATTTACTTAAGTATCTTTTTGTGTGTCCTTACATTAATATGTAGCGTAATAAGGAATGTCGCCCTTCACACCCTTTAATATACATATGTATAAATAGAACTGAAGTGTTGGTATGTAATATCGAAATAAAATTGCGTAAATTTACGACATAAACGGTTGTATCTTTTGATTAGGTTCGCTTAGAAGTTTTATTTTTTCACAGCACCTAGCGACCGCAGACCTGAACGCGTTCACGCGTTTTTGAGAAAAACGGTTTTGACAGGCAGACGGACGGACAACGAAGTGATCCTATAAGGGTTCCGTTTTTTTCCTATGAGGTACGGAACCCGAAAAATAATTCGTAGGAACATGATGTATTTGCGCAGCTGTTAACGAAAAGCTAATTTTTAAAATTTTTGTCTTTCTGTTCGATAGGCCGCATTAGTTCCGGGTAATCCGGAACAATTGATTTACGGGAATTGGGCGGTAGCTTATGCACGCAGGCGTATTATAGGTTATTTTTTTAATTCTGTGTTGACGAAGTCGCGGGCGACAACTATAACAATTATCATTAAGTGATTAATATGTACATTTATTTTATTTTAATTACTTTAATCAGGAAATTACATAGCTATAGTAATAGATATGTAAGCGAGCGACAACGTGAATTCGTTTAAATAGCGAAGTGACCGCTGCTCATTGACATCCGCATTCGATTTGTCGCCAACAGAGATGATAAACAGAAGAGTTTATTTCTTCTTTCTATGCGTCCTCCGCTAAATCCATCAAAATACTACACGAAACTTTCTCTCGGAATATTTTTAACGATGTTTCTAGACATGCTGACGAGAAATATTATAAAATTATAACAAATTGTGAATTAAATATCATACATATAGTTTAAAAAATATTGGTTTGGATTGACGCCTGCACATAGTATATTAGCAATTTTTTAATGATGCAATTCGTTGCCTTCTATAAACGTCATTCCTATTAAAATGTTGCAAATATGCAATAAATCTTAAAACTTATTATTTTATATTTACATTTACTATAAACCTATAATCATAAAGGGGACGAGTTTAAATTTGATGCCAGGTACAAATAATTTTTTTGGGTTAACGCAAATGAGGACGAATAAATTATAAATTGAATAAAAATGCTAAATAAGTAACAGACAGCGACCGTTCTAAATGTCATATTTTTATTGTAATATGTAACTGGGTAAATATGTAATTATTTGCATTTTATTCTAGAAAGTTCAATGACCAATCAATTTTCTTTACATATTAATAAAATTGTAGTGTCTGTGTGTAATCGAGACAAAATATCATATTTCGTATACGGCCACCATTGTTCCGTGTAACCTCCGGAAATCCTGGACCCATTTTTACGGGACTTTAACGTGAAGGTACCGGGCATAGAATGATAATAAATATACTATATGTCACGGCAGTCTAAAACTTAAAGTTGGTAAGGGCATAGTATAATTTTATTCAAATATCTTGGCGGCTCAAGGACATTGCAGTGCATCGCAGCACACTCTCTCAGCGCACTAAGTCCTGCTATACCTAAAATTGTATAATGCGATTGTCTCGCCCGAAGTTAAGAGCCGGCAAGATATTTTTACGACTTGTAGTTTTAAATAGAGGTTAATTATGTTATAAAAATATTGTCCCTTGAGATTCCTTGTTTTATCACCATAGTTTTGTATGCAATTAAAGAGCGTGTTAAAATGCAATTTTCAACTTTATTACTTCAGTTTACTTACGAGTATATTTACTTCTTGCACCGAATCTCAGTTGACATTACTTTTTACAATGATAATTCCTTTACTTGTTATCGGCTATATGAAAACTAGTTGTCGCCGGCAACTCCGTCCGCGTGGAATGAAATAACTTAATTAGTATTCTGTTCTTGTCTATTCTTCCAGGCTATGTTCTACATCTATGCCAAATTGTCATCGATGTCAATATTCGTTCTGGATGTACTTCGAACAAACATCCATCCATCTAAACATTCGCATTTTAAGTAACATCAGAAACTAGTTAGTTCATTTTATTCTATTTTTAATTGTGTCGTTATGACTTAAATTTTTTAGGTTACTTTTTATTTGACTACAAACAGTCGCCGGTGATTTCGTCAGCGAAGAATTAATAATTGTTAAATACGTGTGTACGAAATACGATTTTATTCTCGATATTACATACAGACATTCCGATTTTATTAATATGTATATGTAGATTTAAATATGACACAAACATCGAAAATCCTCAATAAATTTTGCGCATATATAACAGTATTTCTGTATTCATCGCCAGTTTTTCACTAACTTTATACGCAAGCGGTACTCTTGCAAAAATATAATTTATAATTTAAGTTAATTAATCATGAAAAATGTTTTTTCTTAAAACAGCAGTATTCAGGTATGATTTATAAAGTTTTCTTTGCAATTATTTTGATATTATGTTTACAACGTGAGTAGTTAATATTACCAGTACAAAATAATGAAGACCATTAAATATTCACGATTTAAAAAGTATAATATATAATGTTTTACGGTATTACAACAGATTATTTTTATTTTATCTCTTTTTATATTTTAATATTATGTCTATCTGTAATCTTACTTCTTACTAATATTATAAATGCGAATGGATGGATCTTTGGAACGGCTCAACGGATTTTGCTGAAATTTGGCATAGATGTAAAACATAATCTGGTAGAACACATTGGCTACTTATTTAAATTTTTGTTAATTTGCATGCGGACGGAGTCGCGGGAGAAAGCTAGTTTTAGTTACCATACTCCTAAACTGCTAGACCGATTTTTATGAAATTTTGTATGCATATGCAGTAGGTCGAAGCGTCGGTGGATCAGGGTTTTAAGCACTTGACTTGCAATCTGCAGGTCCCAGGTTCGAATCCCGCCGCGTACCAATGTGTTTTTCTATTTTCGATATATGTACATTTATCCGACATTCTTACGGTGAAGGAAAACATCGTGATGCAACCCGCACATATCTAAGAAGAAATTCAAAGATATTTGTGAAGTCAACCAACCCGCACTTGGCCAGCGTGGTTGACTATGGCCTAATACCTAACATAGTGTAGGCTCCGAGCCCCTCGGTGGGGACGTATAGGGAGCTAATGATGATGATACTATATACTTATACCTACTTTAGGTCTGAGAATCGGCTACTATTTTTTAATCCCGTGACGACGCAGTCGCGGGCGACAGCTAGTAATATCTATAAAAAGAAAGATTTGTTTATCTGTAAACTCCGAAACTACTGGTCCGATTTGAAGAATTCTTTCACTGTTGAGAAACTACACTATCCCCGGGTAACATAGACAGATGAAGTCGTGGGCAACTGCTAGCATATGTCACAATGTAATTTAAATAAATAGAAATTCTCATACAAAATAAAATGTTCTCTTATCATCAGTTAGATAAAAAGTTCACTATCTTGAGACGATCAGACAAAAAAGCATATAATCTATATATATGTAAACGAAAGTCGTGTTAATTACACTATTTATAACTCGAGAACGGCTTTACCGATATCGCTGAAAATTGGTGAGGAGGTAACTTAGAGCCAGCAGGCGGACATAGGATACTATTTATTATTATTTTTTCAAATTTATGCCTTGAAGAGCTGCTTTTTATTTAACTTACTAATATTATAAATGCGAATGTTTAGATGGATGTGATATCGATGGATGGATGGGTGAGCTATACTAATTAAGTTTTTTATATATCCACGCGGATGGAGTCGCGGGCGACAGCTAGTAAATAATTAACATTAATTAATTACTCTTTTGTCACTTTTAAATTAAAAAAAATTAACAGACTAAAGTTATAAGGAAAAAAGAAAGTTTTACAATTCCAACTAGGCTCTAGGCTTGTGCTAGGATATGGTTTACGATAATAGTCGAATGGAACTCGAACCTCCGACCTCGTGATCGGACATCCGTAATCTTAACCATTAGGCTAGATGTTTGTTGATGCGCATTGTATGTACTCGTATTTAGCATGCTAATGACGCAGTAAGCGAATCGTAAAACGATTACACGTTTATTACTTGAGTATTAATAAAACATTTTATCACTTATTCCAGAACATAATCCCAACAATTTTATCTTTATTTTATCTCAAATAATAAAGAACTTATGTACGGAGTCAAATTGCATTAGTTGGAGGAAAAACATAGCCACCATTTTATTTGAAACTAACTGTCGCCCGCGACTCTTATCGATAAAACTTAATAAGTATCATAATATATTCTTTAAGATTATGTTCATCTATCAAAATTCCTCCGAGATCCGTGCAACTGTTTTGAATATCCTTCCATCCATCTAAACTTTTGCATTTATAATATTAGTGAGACTAGGTGTTGCCCACGACTCCGTTCGAGTAGAATAAAAAAAAACAGAATTAGTAGCCTATGTGATCTTCCAGATTATCTTACATCTATTTAAATTTCAGCAAGATGTATGCAGCTGTTCTGCAGATTACTTATATTTTTTGCGACTTACGAACACTTGTATAACAAAAGACTGCTTTTTCAAAGAGAGAAATGTCAGATATTAAGTAATTTTATTTTCTTTTTATCTTTAACAGCTTATTGGTAAGTGCTGTTTGGTGTAAAAACTCGAGGGAATTTCCACCTGGTTTTATATTTGGCGCCGCCACTGCCTCGTATCAAATTGAAGGGGCTTGGAACGTTAGTGGTAAGAGAATCATATTAATTACCAACATAAAGTATCTTATTATCAGTATTTGGTATCAAAAAGGAGGAGGATCTCAATTCGTCTGTATGTTTTATAATAAAAGGTTGTAAACGAACAAGCGGCCACCTGATTATTTCGAAACAACGAAGTCACAGCTGTCCATAGAAATCTGTGTGAACTGAAGAAGGGAGTAAAAAAGTGGATATTTTGCTTACTAAACTCTTTAACCCTACCCTTCCTTTCTTTATGAAAAAAGAGTGGGAAAGGAAAGAGGACTACAACTGGCTTTTGCCACACTCGTCGTACGGAACGCGGAATTAGATCCACTTCACGCTTGTTTTCTGTGTAGTTTTAGACATTATTATTTAGAATCCTTTGGCGCGAATGACGCGCTTTCGTGACAAAGTCAAGTGTCAGAATGATTAGTGAGGGGACATAAACGTCGACATTTTAGTATGGCTAGTGTTGCGTCAATACACCGGCAAAGTGTCGGATTTTCTTCCTAACAGTAGTTGTGGTATTGATTGCAGAGATCCGATTGGGTAGCAAATGTTGCTGCATACTCTATCATAGATAATACCATAGACTAGTTAGTAATGTGTTTATGGTTACATTTATAGATAAAGGCGAGAGCATTTGGGATCGGTTTGTGCATACCAATCCTGATGCAATAAAGAATGGTGAAAATGGAGACGTAGCGGCCGATTCATATCATAATTGGCAGCAAGACATTGATATAGCCAGTGACATAGGACTTCATTTTTACAGGTAATAATTCAAACTTAGATATAATGAAACACTTTATTTCTGACTAGCTATCACCCATGATTCTGCCCACATTAAATTAAAAAAAATCTTAATAAGGAGTCTATGTGTTCTTCCACGCTATGTCTAAGCCAAATTTCAGCGAGATCTAAACAGTCGTTCTAGAGATGTCTTCTGACAAACATCCATCGCGCATCAAACGCCGATGTGCCACGTCCTAGACGTCGCCGATTGAGGATAAAATTGGCAAGCGGCAAGAGAGGCGTCAGTAGCCAGCAAGATCGAATCTTTATTCTGCTTAAACAGTGACAGATAGGCGTTGGCAAGCGTACACCGCGGCGATCACGAGGCAGGGTGGTGAACGATGAGTTTAGTAATTTTAAGGTTAATTGAAACTAAACTTATATGTATGTGGGCAAGGGACTTTCCGTTTTGAGCGATATCAACCAGTCCACCCTGGAAATCTAGATAAAGGACATGTCTTTTTTTAGTGGCTTAAGGTCAATATGCCGCTGTTGTACGCCTCCCTTACCTACCTTTATACCCTAACATTGTATCGTGCGCAGCGACTCCTGCTATATTTAGAGTCGCGAAGATATTTGCAAAAAAATAATACTGAATTAACTTAGGAAACACTGTTCCAAACATAATTGCTTCAGGTTTTCTACAAATTACCGAAATAAACATTTTTTGTACAGCAGTGGAAATATACTTTAAATAAATAAAACTTTTGCATTCAGATTTTTTTTTAATTTAATTTATGTAAATTTATGATTACATTATTATATATTTTTTACATTTACATTACATTTATTTAATTTTAGATTCTCCCTCTCATGGCCACGTCTCTTGCCATCTGGATTTATAAACAATAAGAGTGAAGATGGTAAAAACTACTATAACAAACTGATTGATGGACTCCTAGCTAAGGGGATAGAGCCTGTTGTCACCTTGTACCATTGGGACTTGCCACAATCAATACAAGATTTAGGTTAGTTATTCGGAAAAATATTACATCCAACAGATGGCGCTACACCGTGAAGCAAAACTGAAATATGTTTTTTTTGGAGCTGCGCTATACCGCCATGTTGCTGCCCTGGCATGTTGTGGTTACACATTAGGGTTCTTTATTAAAAATCACAAAAATTCTTAAGCTAGTTACTTATAAATTAATAAATGTTTACATACTGCTAGTGCTGAAATAGGTGTTGTATAAGATCAACGATGGCTCAGTGGTTAAGCAGACTTGTAATCTGCAGGTATTAGATTCGAATCCCGCCATGTACCAATTTGTTTATCGATTTACATATGTATATTTATCCGACGTTCTCACGGTGAAGAGACCTACCTCGGCTTGGGCTCAATTTCGAGTTTAGCATTCCGATTCAAGGCTGCCCGAGAGCGCCAAACCTCTGCTTGATCGGTTGCTATTATCTGATTGCTACGTTTTGGAAACGGACAGTTCTGCCGTTTCTAAATTTGCACTAAAGACTTTTCAACTCTACATAAACTTTAATACATGTTTCAAAGTTTTTTACTTTTAAGGTGGTTGGACAAATCCATTGATAGCCGATTACTTTGCTGATTACGCTGATTACGTTTTCAATACCTTCGGCGATCGCGTGAGGACTTGGTTAACTATAAACGAAGCTATATCTGTTTGTGATTTTGGATATAATAGCGGTCTCACAGCACCTGGTATTAAGGAACCTATTTACGGCACATATTTATGTAATAAACATATGCTTATCGCGCACGCTAAAGCTTATAGAATCTACGATAGGTACTATCGATCTACACAACATGGTGAGTTATTACTTTTTTAATTTTGTGAATACAGTCAAGGAAGTTAATTTCCTACCCTTGAAAATCGAAAGCTTGACATAGTACGTATTACATAGTTTTAGGTCATATGGTGATAATTTGATGGTTCGATTCGATATATTCGAGTCATGTGGAAAACGAATTAATTAATTATAATCTTTTGTGCAATGTTTAATTTACTACATTTTTAATATGCCTAAGGCCATTAATACACAAGAATTTACTTCGACTTACACAATTCAATTAATAGAGGTTCAGTTATGTAGTCTCGACGACTGTAATAGACGACTCGCGTAACAACGTTGTGTGTACGGAGCGTGCAACGCGATTTTCACGACGATTTACGTTGCCTTGTACGAATTGCTTAAATTAATCATGTTTTTGTTTGTAGGTAAAGTATCTTTTGCTAACAATTTACTATGGATAGAACCATTAACACCCGCTGACGAAGAATTAGCAGAATTGGGATTACAACACTCTGTAAGTTTATACATTTACTTTAAAAAAAAATACATCCTGTAGTTACTTTATTAACGATGTATAACAGCAAAGGGATAGTGATGGCTCGTACTTAGACTATCGTAAGCTGAAATATTGCATTTTACACTTGCTTTATGTTTTATAGTGTTGATGGCTCAGGGGTTAAGCATTTGATTTGCAATCTGTTGGACCTGGGTTTGAATCCCGCTATGTAATATGTTTTTAGATTTACATATGTACATTTATCCGACGTTCTTACGGTGAAGGAAAAACATCGTGAAAAAACAACAGTAAAGTTCACACGTTAGGAAACATTGTGATCCATACGTTCAATTAAACTAAGGGTTATAAAATCGATGTCTACTGTTAGGAAGAAAAACCGAAAATGTGACAGTGTATTGACGCAACACTAGCCTTACTAAAATGTCGACGTTTGTGCCCCTTCACTATTCATTTTGACATTGGGCGTTGTAACGAAAGCACGTCATTCGCGCCAATTCTAGTGAATAATGTATAAAACTACTAATAGGTTCTATTTGTCTATAGGCTGGACGTTACTCGCATCCAATATATTCCAAGAAAGGTGGTTGGCCACCGTCCATTGAAAGGTTCATGGAAGACTACAGCAGAAAACAAGGATTTAACATTTCAAGATTGCCGCGTTTCACTAAAGAAGAAATTAAATTAATAAGAGGTATATTTTCATAGTATAAGTTGCCACAAGAAATCAATAACTTGATTTCGCCAAAACAGCGATGTGATTGCCCATAGACAATCGAAAAAACTTAGGCAACACATCTGCAACCTTCTAATCTAAGTTTTTGCGATTGTCTATGGGCAATCACATCGCTGTTTTGGCGAAATCAAGTTACTGATTTAGTGTGGTCTTTAAAATAAATAGGACATACAGTAAAAGAATATTCCCTCCTCCTCTCTAGAGAATCGAAAAAGTATTAGTAAACTACTTCGAGAAGCTTATAATATTTACAATTCCAATAGATTAACATAGGTAACTCAAAAACTACTTAATAGTTTCTTCTATTACTATGCTAATAAGCATCGCCTTTGGAAAAACAAAAGACTTTTTCCTACGAAGTCCCTCGTACCCTAGATCTAGCCTAAATTACCTGGCGATACCTTTAGCTTTACCAATGTTAAAAGCTTTTATTGATTCTTGAATTAAATGAAGTAAACAACTGCAACATATAGACTTCTAACTAACAAGTAATTCTTCAACGACAGGGTCGTATGATTTCTATGCGTTCAACCATTATACGACGCGTCTCATCCGCCCCGCACAGCCGGGCGAGGACACGGGTTTTTGGTTCCTGACAGGATCACCGGAACTCAACGCTGTACTGGTCTCCGATCCGAGCTGGCCTTCGGGAGCTTCAGAAATGATGTTGGTAAGTTACCAAATAGTATATAAATGGCACGGCGCCTACAGGACGTTCATTCGTAAAAGTTTTTTTTCAATTAAAGCGTCAATAGCCTAATGGTTAAGGGTACGGATTTCCGATCACGAGGTCGGGTGTTCGAATCCCGCCATTCGACTATTGCCGTAAACCATAGCCTAGCACAAGCCTAGAGCTTAGTTGGAATGGTAAAAGAAATATTAGTAAATTTACTAAAAATCTGCTAATATTTTCATTAAAAATTAATTTTCATTTATAGAATTACTAGCTGCCGCCCGCAACTCCGTCATAAAAAGAAACATAATTAGTAGCCTATGTGTTCCAGACTATGCTCTATATGTCATCGAGATCCGTTTAGCCGTTCTGGAGATACCTTCCAATCTTCTATCCATCTAAGTATTTGCATTTATCATATTGGTCTTGGTCTTATATGGCGGTCTTATTTAGAACTCAATCTATTAATTCTCTGTTAGCAATACGCTCAATGTAGTACCAAATACAAGTTACAATGGTCAAAGGCTCACAAAATAAGGTTACTTTTAAATTACATTATACAAACGGCGTTAGGGTAGGGCGAGGTGTGGCGACGGCCCTGGGCGCTAGGCAGATAGAGCGCCCCCAGAATACCCTATATTTGAAAGATTTCCCCCGAAACAAAAAAGGGACGCCACAAAAATTACGCCCAGGGCGCCGGAATGCAAAAGCCGGCCTTGATATTGTACATACGGATTTAAGTTATTTATATATGGTTTCTAGGTATATCCTAAAGGTATGCGACGTATGATAGCCTGGCTAAGAAAGGAATACGGCGACCTACCCTTCTTCATCACTGAGAACGGATATTCGACATCAGGACATAAACTAAATGATCCTGACAGGATCAAATTTATCAAAGATTATTTGGAACAGGTAAAAATACTTAACACGTTCATGCAAAACATTTTTTCTTTTACTTTCGAGTAGTCTATTTTATGGAATACTAGCCCGCAGCTTCGTACGCGCTGAATTAAAAAAAAATATTAGTAGTCTCTGTGTTCTTTCAGACTATGTTATCCATCTATGCTGAATTTCAGCAAGATCCATGCAGCTATTCTGGAAATACCTTTTAAGAAACATCTAATCATCTTAACATTCGCATTTATAACATTAATAAGAGTGGCAAATTACCTGATATTAAGCGATCATGTCCCCTTCCCTGTCAAATCATTTTGTTGGAACTTAGTGATGGGAAGGGAAGAGGAGTAAATTTAGGTTATTACAGTTATATGCTACCTTTTTGAATCGTTACTTATTTATTTAATTTTGCAGGTTCTATTGTCTATTTGGGAGGATGGTGCCAAAGTTTTTGGTTACACATATTGGTCACTAATAGACAATTTTGAATGGACAGATGGATATGGGTATATATTTTTATTTAAATAATAGCTGTCGCCCGCGACTCCGTCCACGCGGAATTAAATAAAGTTTATAAGTAGCCTTTGTCTTCTTCCAGACTATGTTCTAGATGTATGCCAAATTTCATCGAGATCTATTCAGCCGTCTTGGAGATACCATTCATCGAAACATTCGTATTTATAATAAGTAATATATAATCGATGTAAAACAAATATGTGAAAGCTATGAACTTAAATAAATAATCGAAAATGCTTATAGTATTAAAAGAACGTCGGTGGCTCAGTGGTCAAGCACTTGACTTGCAATCTACAGGTCCTGGGTTCGAATCCCGCCATGTACCAATGTGTTTTTCGATTATGATTTACATATGTACATTTATCTGAGAAGAAATTCAAAAGATATGTGTGAAGTCAATCAACCCGCACTTGGCCAGCGTGTTTGACTATGGTTTTAAGATCTTTATTTCTCAAAGAATTTACAAAATTCACTTACGAGAAACAATTTTACAAGAACATGAAAATTTTACCAGTAGTCAGACATTACATTTTACTAACAAATTTCTTTAATTTATTTTTAA